TATTGTCTCTCTTTCGCTCTTTTTAAAGCCAAGTCAAAGTGCGCTTTCCCAATCTCTCGCTTCTCCCCGATGCTAATGAGAAGCCTGCTGCTGATCGATTTGCTGCTCGGTTGGCTATTCGACGCCTCTAATCTTATCTTCTCTGCCTTGCTCATTCTTGACAAGTCCATCGTGCGTCGCTTATTCGGTACATTTTAACCGAAACGACGACACCGGCGTAGTCGAACACACGATCACACGTAAATTTCGGGCTCGCATAATGCTTTTCCCAGCGGCTCTCTGCAACACTGCTCGCGCGATCGCGGCGACAGATTTCCATCCGCGCGTAGACACGAAACTGGCGTCATGGTAAACTCGCAGCGCTGTATCTGGTTTGTCGAGCGACACTTTTTGGGGCGTAAAAATGAATGGCCAGAGAGCGTTAGTATCGACTGACAAATTGCGCGCATTCGTCGCAGCTGGCCGTATACAGGCAGCAGCCGCGCGGCCGTAAAGTTTCTTTAGCTCTCGGAGGGCAGCGTCGATATCGGTTTAGCCGTTGATGCAAAAGAGAGCGGAAAATCCATACGCATATAATCCGGGGGTGCGGCGCGCGAAAGTACGGCCTCAAGTTCATCTGGACTTCATTTGTTGGGCGAGGAACGGAATGAACGGGACGCGAGCCTGGGCAGCGAGCGAAAATGAGCGGCCGGGCAAAGTTGTCAGCGGCCGCGGCCCCCTGCGCTCCGATCCAATAAGGCGCTCTTGACCGGCCGGGAAAAAAGCAATAAGCCGCCCGGCCGCGTAATCGTCCGATAATGGCTGCGCCAAGGCGCGGTGGGAATGCCGATCCTCGTGTTTGCCTCACTGTGTCCGTGAACAAGTGAAAAATTGCCAATAAGCCATTAGTCTCCCTAATGATCTATTCCAAGTGGCGCTGCTCCATATTTTTGCTCCCCTTTCGGACGAGGCCTGACCGCGTGCCTCCCTCTCGGCGCGACTGACCGGCGGCGAATCGGGGCGACGGCGTGTAGGCGGTCCGGGATCCGGCTAAAAAGTTGAGCGCGACAGCGCGCGGCCTCATCCCTGACAGCCGTCCCGTGAACGGTCAGAGGGGCGCAGAGCTTCCCGAAGACTGGCGCGAAGCTGCGCCAAGCACGCGGAAGGAGAGAGCGAACTGGCGCCCGGGCGTCAATCGCCGGCCTGCGTATCGCCAGCAGGCAACGGCGGGGAGCGAGCTCGCACAGTCGCGCCGGCGCTTCGGTAATGAGAAAAGAGAAATGAAGGGAGAGATAAAGAGTAATGGAAGCGAGCGCGCTATATATAGGCACATAAGCAATATCGCTCCTTAGCCGGCCGACTTTTTGTTTCGCAGAGACTGCCCTCTGGCGCCGCCTGCCATCTCTCTCTATCTTCGCTTCTCGCCTGCCCTTCTCTCGGCATTCGCGCCAGCCACATTTCCTTTTTCAGACCATAAACTTGGCAGTATTAGGTCAGTTTCCCGCGCCCGGAGAGCAAGTGGCTGCGAATTTATCGCGCGAGCCGGATGAAAAAAGTTTCAGCTCCGCGGGCGCGCGGCTCGCTGCCGGCACTGGCGCGCGCGCTCGATACAAGCGACGTGCGGGCAGCTCGCGACCCTGTCGATGGACGCCGGTGCGTTTTGCGCGCCGAGAGCGCCGCGGCCCCGAATTCAGGTCGAGGCACTTTTCCGTGTACAGCGCGGCAACGCGGCCAGCCGACGGGACGATCGCGTGAGTGTCGTTGCTCGTCTACGGCAGTCGAATGCCAATTAGCGAGGCGATCGATGTACAGCGATCGGTCGAAATGCAAAAGGCCCATTGTTTTTCGCCGTTGGCATTCGAGCACTTATCGCGAGGCCTTTTCATTATTCGCGCGCCCAAGATCAATTTGCGTCAGCTTTATTATTGGAATTTATCGAGCTTGTACTGTTAGAGGCGCGAAGCCGCGGGGATTGTTAAAAATGAATTTTCCGCAGATGAAAAATTCAGATCCAATCTGGCTGAGCGAAAAGGGCATTGATACGTTCGGCGCGTGAGACTAATCCTTTGATTAATATTTTCAAAGCCGCTGGATCGTGAGCTCGCGTGGAGATACATGTTCTCCTTTTTATACAACGAAGGGGGAGGGGGCCGAGAGAAAAGTTTCAATTGGCATTTCATTGTTGTTAAAAGCCAATGAAGGCGGTCGCGGTACGACGTAGCGTCTGATTGACGACTGCCAGTGCGACACCGGATGCGGGCGGCGCGTTCCCGAGCCGGGACGCTGCTTTCCTCTGGAAGACAGATGTCGTCGTAATGGTGCACTCAAGCTTGAGCTCTCGCGGGCCAAAAATGTCAAAGCTTCTGTCTGGAGCCGTCGGTGCGGTTGGCTTTGCAGAATCACGCAATACACGTTAGCGCCCGATCAAGTTTATGTTCGAGCACGTTTCCATTTCCAGCGGCTCGGCTCGGTAATCAAAGTGAGTTTCATCGCGGCACTAATGAGAAGATGAAAAGCACGGGAATTCCGCGGATTTCGTTTGAAGTAATCGTAAGAAGGAGCAGGGGGACTAGCTGGGGAGGAGAGCGCTGGTCGGCTCAAGCTCTACATTAGAGATTAAAAACTAATTGAAAGTAGAGGCTTTTTACTGCAAATATTATTAGGCGGAGAGTGGGAACGGGGCTTTTCCGAAATTAGCTCGGCAGCTCGCGCTCGCAATTATCTCTGCACTCGAGCTCGCGGAACGGAGCTTTTAGCCGAGCTTTTAACAATGCGGAGAAAAAAAAAACCAAAAATGAAATGATTAAAATTGAGGCGCCACCCGGCCAGCTGGCAGTATTGAGCCGCGCGCCGCGCGCCGCGCAGCCGTCAGTCGCGCGCGTCATTCCGACGCTCGCTCTTGATTTTCGCGAACAACAGGACGCTCTCTATTATCTGCACGCCCGCTCGTTGATCGCTGCCGCGCGCATAATCTCGCGAGAGCTCGCCCGCGTTTATCCATTCGAGCCTCGTAAAAGCAGCGAAGCCGTAAGTCTTATTCCGCGACGTGCCAATCCCAGTGGATACGGCCCGGCGCGCCTTGTTCGATCTTCCGTTTCGTCGATATATCGCAGCAGCCGCTCTTGCCAACGGATTGAAAAAGGCGCTTTGCCAGAGCGCTGCTCGTAAACAAAATCCGGCTCGCGCATGCACGCGCACGGGCGCGGGTAAAGCAGCCGTTACGTTATCGATCAGAGGGCTCGGACTCTTTGTTACTGGGCTCCAAGTCAGCCCTCGAACGAATCGCTTTACTATCAAACGATCGGACCCAATGGCTAATATTTCATTGCGCCACTGCAAAATCAATGCGGCAGAGCGAGCTGGCCGATCGCTAGGTTTGTTTCGCGCCCGCTCGAGTGAGCAACACGGTAACTCCAATTATCGGTGAAAATGTAGAATCGAAATCATCGCGAGTGGCCCAAGAGTGCCGGTAGAGCCTGCCTCAAAGCCAAACGGACAAAAGGATTATTCCATTGCAATTGATTAGTGGAGTCGTGACGAACAAATAATATGAGAGGAAATAGGAATCCGGAGAGAGAGCGAGAGAGAGAGAGAGAGAGAGGGAGTAGAGCTCGCAAAAGTGGAAATTAGGTCTTAGCGGAGCGAGCTAGAGTGAAATCGAGGGAGAGCTTTGGGTGGATCTCTCGGCGCGCATTGGTCGGCAGCGTTGCATAAGCGATGCTCGAAACCGCGGGGGACTGATAAGAGATACATACGCGCCGATCCACGTGCGCTCTTCCATGTAATTAGCTATCGCTCCTGCGGGACAGCCGATAGTCGAACTTCCTCACTCTCTCTCTCTCTCTCTCTCTCTCTCTCTCTCTCTCTCTCTCTCTCTCTCTGCCCACTGATAAATAAATCATGGAGCGCGGCTATTGCCCAATTCTTTTTTAATGAGCGTCAAGCCTATCGCGATCGCTCAGCTGCATCCTATCCCACCGCTCGACATTCCATTTCGAATCCCCCATTATTCCCTCGTTATTCCGTGGCCATCTCTTGAAAAAGCTACGGCTCAACTTGCAATAACGTTTCTGTTCTCTTTTCCGAATTATCTCACCGCAAGCGCCTGGCTCGAACGTATCTTCAAAATTACCTCGAAAGCCATCTCTCGCTTCTCTCGCCCGAGAGCGCTGCGGAGCCGCGACGCAACGGCTGTTAACGAACTCATTTTCCAACCAGGCGAAGAGTCGCTTTCGTGGTCGCGGCGAACGCGCGTCAATTCTACCATGCAAAGCCGCTGCGACGTCGCGAGCGTGTAGCCGTGTGGCTTAGGCGCAATCAGCTACCGCGCGATCCGCGCGAGCTGCGACATTTTATTCAGCGCACGAGTCGAGTAGAGCGACCGAGGAGGCGCGCCAGCTCCGTCGGTTCCTCGCTCGCGCCGGCCGACGATCCGCCGGGGAGGCTCGGACGCCGCGCGAAAGAGGGAAACTCGATCGCGGCTTTGCGCTGGCATTATCGACGAATATTCGGCCACGGCTTGCGTCTCTTTCGCGATGCGGAGGCTGCTAATTGGTAGCGCTGCGGCCTGGCGCGCGAGGCGAACGAACCAGCAAGTTGCCGCGTCGATCGACAATGTCACATTGCGAGCCAGCACTGGAATGATCAATAATATCGCCGAGCTGCCTGTCGCGGCGGGGCGACTGTCCGATTCGAGTGGAGCTGCGAGGGGCAAGGAAGAAAAAGAGCGGCAAACGCACCAACGGATAAACAACCGCTGGAGTTTACGGGCAGTTTCGTTGGCTCGGTACGGGCCGAGTGCGATGAATCCGTAACTCCGCTCTCGCCGGCGCGAGCAGCCTCCGATCGATAGAGCAAATAATCAAAGAGCAGAGGCGTCTGATAACACGCCCGAAGACGCCCGGGCGATTCGGCGGCAGTAATAGGCGTCGCGTGCAGCCGCCTGCCGAGGTTCGGCCACTGCGAGCCGAATCGTCCCGAAGCGGCGCGCATCCGATTGATCAGTGTGTATTCTGCTTCAGGTCGCTCGCGCGAGCCGCCAGGCCGGGGAGGCAGGACGAAGCGGCGACGGAGGAGCAGGAGGCCGAGCTACAGCGGGAGGAAGCAGCGTGCCATGTGAACGATCAAGGGGCCGGCAGGGGAGGCACCGAGGGGCCTGCCGCCCGAGCAGATCCGTCGAAATCACGAACACGTGGCGAGACGTGAAGCGGGGTGAGTTCCGCGTCGCCGAAAATTGGTGCCGCGCGCGCGCCCACGACTGGCTCGGCGACTGGCGACTCTCCGGCGCGACCCGGACGCGTCCGGCATTCCGCTGCGCTGTGCAGTCGCCGCGCTCCGTACGTGGCTCGAAATTCAAGCGCATCCCGGAATTTGTTTGAAGCCCGAGTTGCCGCTGCCGCGACTGGCAATTCTTGAGGTCGCGCCAGCGCGACCCCCGAGTAATCCCAGCGCGGGCCGAGCCGCAGCTGCGGTGCTACATCGACTGCGCAACTCGCTTGTCTTTTTCGCTCGCGTGCGCCGCCAAATCCCGACGGCTATAAGAACCAAGCGAGCGGCGCGCGCCAGCCCCAGACCGGCACCAAGTAGAAACACTCGATTTCGGTCAGACGCGTTCGAGTCGCATTTTCAGTGGGCATTAATCTAAAGCGGTCGCGCAAAACCGGCGAGGCCGCTGCAATAAAATTCAAAGACTTTCGCGAGAAACGCGGTATTTTGCGGCGGCGCCGGCTCCCTTGCGCCAAGTCGAGACCGTCAATTGAAAATAGCGCCGAGGCAGAGCGGAGCACCGCGCGTATAAAGGTAAAAGTGTGAACGGCGCGCTTCCAAGTGGTCCTATAGACTCGGTCGCTCGGGGGAAAAAGGAGCGAGAGAGCAAGCGGCAGGATCTTTCGGTTGGCGAGCCCGCGGGATGACAAATGGCGAATGCAGCTTTTATGCAGAACAGCAAAATTAATATTTGCGGCTAGATTTCGACGGGCTCGAGCTGCACTTCGCTGAGCTCTTTCATCCACGTCGGCCGCAGTAATCTGTCAGCGCGCGCGACTTATAAAACCCGAACGGAGAATCGCACTACAAAGCGCAGTAGTATATAGCCGATCGAGTTCAAACGAAGCGGATCGAGCGACCGACGGAGAGCGCTCAAAGCGAACGAGAGGCCGCCAGAGCTGCAAGACTTGGGGAAAGTTTTTGGACTCGGCGAAAAGCCAGTCAATCCAATATAGCCGGGCCTGAGCAAGGCGGCTTTTCCACTTGCCACATCAAATCGACCTCGAAGCCCATCGCGGAACGTGAATTTCTTCAATGGCTTAATAGTCGCCACGCTCTGGCCCCTCCGTGCCCGACAGCTCGCGAGTCTCGTCCGCCACTGCGCGAGACGCGTAATTTTTAGCTCGTCGCTCGAGCTCAGCTGTCGTCGTCAAATATGTAGCGGCGCAGCGTGACAAATAAAAGAATCGGCCAGACGACGGCGCGCCGCTTCAGCGACGTCTCGCAGCCGTCCGCCACCCCGAAAATCGCACATCCCGAAATAATAGCAGCAGGTGAATTGCCGCCACGGCCCAGGCTGCGCCGCTGAATCACGACCGCTCTGCAAAAATAAGGCGCGTACGTGCGAGCGCGCGGCCAGCGGGCACGCGGGCGCCGGGCTTTGCATTATTTCGCGCTGCAGCCTCTTTGAAAATTTAATTAAAACATACCCGTTGCGCGTGACACGCCAACTAGTCCTCCGCTTCGCCTGCAGTAGTCGAACGATCGCCCCCCCCCCCCCCCCCACTCCCGCGCGCGTGCTTTCGGCAAACATTTGGCAAAAAAGAGGCCACCGGCGCGCGACGCTCCCCCCGCCCCCTCCGTCCCTCGGCCCCTTTTGTCTAACACGTTTTTCCAGATCTGCAGCGGGGATAAAGTCTCGTCTAATCGTTTTGCACTCTTTTTTTCTTTTTTAATTTGTGAAAAATTAAGCTGCTCGGCGCGCGGCTCTTGCTTCCGTTTTTCGCGCGCGCACTAGTGCGCCAAATGACACTTGAGCGTCGGAGAACCGGGATCGGTTGGGAATAAGCTGCGTTATTTCCAGGCAAACAAATGTACGTTTTCCTCTTTTCGGACGAAATGAACAATGCCATTTCTATCGGAGTCGAAATGATTGCACGTGGATGCGTTTACAAAAGCGCGATCGCCGGGAGGGACAATGTACAAAGAGGAGCGTTCACGAGCGATATGCGCGTATTATTTCGGCTGATAAGTCGCTGCGACAAATGCAGCCCGGAACGGGGACGAGCGAGCGAGCGCGCGGGCATCAAAAAATCATGACCACGCAAAGCTGCAGAGCGCGCCGCGAATGAACAACGGAAGAGCTAGCCGGGAGACAAAGACAGACGCACACCCCGACTGAAAGAAGTAAAAGTAGCGCGCACAATTCAATCGACTGCAGCGCGCCGCCCGAGCGGACTTGCGCGCGCGCGCGCGCGCGTCAGTCAACGAACAGAGGAAACGAGCACCGTGCGATATCGCTTGAAAGCGACGTAGTCGCCGCAGCTGAAAGGAACGAAGAGAGCAGACTCGTCAGAATGAAATTTGCCGGTAGCGAATGTTAACATCAACAGCGGGGAGAGAGCAAGAGATAGAGAGAGAGAGAGAGACAGAGCGAAAGGGTAAAAGGTCGTCTGCGACCATACGCGAGCATAAATATGTATGCGGGCACTGCCCGCGGCGCAAAAACCATCGGCAAATCTCCAAACGGCAAAAAAAAAAAAAATGCTTCGCAACGTCTCCGGCGCGGACGTACACGTAGATCGTTACGGGCAGCTTTCCATCATTATTCCGGGCAGTTCGTGCCATTGAACGCGCGGCCCATTTTACTCCGCGACTCGAGTGCCCTCCTCGCTGCCCTTGGCGCGCCGTGGCCCGGCGAAATTGTTCGCGAGGCCGCATTAAAAACAAGCGCTCGTCGCTAAGTAGCGTCGCGTCGCTCATTGTCATCCGAACATTGTCGTGGGATACAATAAAAGCCTGCTACAAAGGATAACTTTGTAGCGCGACACAATAAGGCTGCGCGCGTGTCGACAGAGGCTGAGTCGAGTGGGATGACGGCGATAACGCGAGGAATTAATAAACGTCGGTGTTTATTCATTGCAACCAAGATTGCATATCGGCCGATACAGTAGAATAAAACTTGCTTGATAGCTGGTAGAGATTAGCTGATAGCGATAGCGAGAGAGAGAGAGAGAGGCGATGAGCGCACGACGTCGCGTGCTGCGGCGACGCGCGACAATAGCTGCATAAATCAGATTCGACTCGATTGAGCTGATTGATCAAGGCTGCATGTTAATCGTAATTACACTCTTACTTTTGAGGCGAATAGTGCTGCGGAGTCTATCTACGTCGTCATCTCCGCTGATTACCGATTGTTTCGAGCGCGCGTAAGACTCGCAAATGGTAATTGCGCCGGCAGCCTATGTTTTTGCAATAATCGCGTCGCGCCAGTTCGGGGGTATCGTTGGCGAGCCGACGACCAGTAATTGCAACTATAGAATGCGCATCCGGAGGATCCGCCGCGCGTAATAAGAGATAACCGACTGTTGCAGCGCTGAGCCTGCTGTGCGTTAAGACATCGACGAGCAGCGCCGCAGCCATGCTAGAAGCGCCTCCAGGCAGCCGCGAGGACCTCGTCGAGGCCGCCAGGACGCCCTGCACACCTTCCGGTGCGTATCTCACAATGTCTGCCGTAATCCTCGCTGTGCAGTCGCTGAGCGCGCAGCTCGCCTCGAACGCCGGCTGTCTATTCTCCGGCGACGTGGCTCCAGTTAGGACTAACGCCCGCGATCTCTTCGCTTGGCCCAAAGCAGCTTTCCTTTAGTTTATCGCGAAAGCGTGGAACGGAGCCGGCTTGCTGCTTTAGTCCACCTCGACTCAAGTCTCTTTTTTCTCAACTTTCGCCGCTCGCAAAGTCAGCTCAAAGTCTACTGAAAGTCCCCTCCCCGTCTCGCCCGCGTCCTCTCCCTCTCCCCCACCCCCCCTCTCTCTCACGAACCTTTTCTACTTCATTCTGCTTCCGACCAGAGTAAATAAACAAAGTGCCGCTGCTGCTCCTGAAGCCGAGTACACACTCCCGGGAGAGCTTGCAGCGATCTGAGCGACGAAACCGTCGCTCGGTTATTTTTGCAATGATACAAGTGAGCTGAGCAGATGGCCGGAGCTAGTAAGACTTTGAAAGAAAGCGAACTCACGCCGGATCTTTTCTCGCGGCCGCGGCGCGATTGTCCTCGGCAGATGAGCCTCGCAGCTAAAGGAAATCCCACCGCTTGATCTGCGCACGTGCAGCTGTCTCTCGGGTCCGCGCGAGGAATAATTTACAGCGCGTATCGCTTCGCTCGCTATCTGTGCAGGGTCGGCGATTCAGCTGCTGAGCCCAGCCCAGCCGGCAAGGTGGTATATGGCTATTTTTTACGTCTTGTAATTAAATTATGGCCTCGGCTTTATCTAAGCCGCGGCCTTTTCTTCTCGACAACGAGGACGACGGTGGCGGTGGCGGCGGCGTCGGCGGCGGCGGCGGTGACGACGACGACGACGGTAGAAGGCTAATGAAATTTTCTCGTAAGGGAAAGACTTATTCGCAGTCCTCTCGCTGGAGGCTAAATTTAACGCAGCCATCGCCGCCTGAAGCGAAGGCTCGGTTCTGTGTTGTCTCTTCCGGCCTTTCCGTGGAAGCGATGCATGTATTTCAGACGCTTTAAAAATAGTCGTACTCTTTGTTTTCGCTCGCTTTACCCTCTGTATTTTTATGTGCTCGTCTTTCCCCATCGATACGACCTGCCGTGCGTCGAAACAGTATAGTGAGGCTACCGACGTTGCGGTTATCATTGCTCATTGGACAATCGATGATGCGTAGCACGTCCACTCAGACCCTTGCATTTTCTTGCTTCACCATTAGAAATCGCTTTTGTTCCAAGAGCCCTAAGCAGCGTTAATTGATCAATCTGACGTTATTCATTCCGCGGATGTTCTCGCTGAGAGTAGAAATCAACAGGTAATCGGCGTCCGCGTTGAGTACTACTTGAACGTTGACGGACAGCTGCCACAGACATCGGAAGCTTTTCTTCGCTCGCATAGGTATATTGTATTGGGGAAAGAGCTGCAGTCGAGAAATATTCGAGAGCGGCAGACGGCGAGAGAAACGGCGTGCGAATATGCAAGCGACCTTTATTTACGGATGCCGCGCGCGGGCGCATACGCATTAATGAGTTGGCTAATGAAAATCGGAATGAAAATTGAAACGCGAGCGGGCTGTTAATCAGAGCCTCGTTAAACAAAGCAATGTTTGCGCGGGGGCCGCTCGGCATGCGCAATTGAAGCCGAGCTGCAGGATTTCAAAGAAAAATATCGTAGCTCCTAAGGCGCAGCGCCGGCGACGCTCGCCTCACCCTCGCGCTTCTCGCGGAGCTCGTTCGCGCGATAAAATCGCCGCGAAACAATATAAAATCAATCGGTTACGCGAGCGAGAAACGCGTGCGCGGCGACGATGGATTCTCGCTCCGGCGAGGCGCAAATTTGGCGAGAAATTGAATATCACGGGCCCTCGCAGTACATTATGTCTAAGCGCTCGGCGTCGGAATTGTGCGCTGACGTCATGCGCAGTTATGTGGGGCAAAGCACGGCCGGGAGGAGCAGAGGCGCGCGAGCAGAGGGCAGGGAACGAGCGTAGCGTCGACGAAAGGCGTCGCATCGACGCTCGACGACGCGCCTCTCGCAAAGAAATAATAATCGGCTGGGCTGGGGCGGAGGCGCGGAGATGGGCGAGCGTCGCGCGAGAGAGAAAGGGACCAAAAGGCGGAAGCGTCGCCGCGGCATCGATCCGCGCGTCGGCCACGCTCGACGAACGAGGCAGAGAGAGAGAGAGAGAGAGAGAGAAAGAAGGAGATAGAGAGAGCACAACGCCGCAGCCACGTGGCACGCGCGGATCGCCGATGAGCGATGCAGCTTTTTGCCTCTTTGCCCCGCGCGCTGGACCCTCTCCGGAACATCAATTAATCCGACGCGCGGACTGCAGCGCAACGAGGTTTATCCGCTCTCGTTTCCTATAAGTAACGGAAGCGACGGACTCCCCTTGTCTTGCCAACGTAGCGCGGTCGGCAGCTATCTCTCTCTCTCTCTCTCTCTCCCGCTCTCGTCGCCAAACTGTGTGACTGGTGGCTCGTAGCCTGCGGGCCTTTCTCTCTTTCTTTTTTGTCCACGCCTCTAAATAATAGTCGGACCTCCGACATCGTGATTTTTGCTTCGTCACTGCTGTCCTCCTTTCCTCTTGGCTTCGCTCGCGCAATTGTGATCCAGTGTGGACGAAAATCCCGAGACAGTAAACAAAAAATCTCATATCGGCAAAGAGTCTTCATTGTCTGGATAAGCAGCAGCTGTTAATTGGCCGATCAATTAGCAGTTGCTCAACGATTGCCGACCGTGAGAAATCCGTCATTAGATGCAAATAATCCATGCACTGGTAGTTGGGATCGAGAGGTGTGTCACAGAAAATGAAGAGTCAAGTTGAAAATCTTAAATATTAATTTATTCGAATCATACATCAGCGGCAGCAGCGACAGCAGCGGCAGCAGCAGCGATTTCATCCTGTAATTGCAATTGCACAAGCCATTTTTCATTCGAAACCTCGAACTCAAACGTACCGTCGACTATCTCACTTGGAAAGTATAATAAAAGATCATCGGCGGGCTGGATTTCCGAATAAAGGACTTGCGATATTAGGCAGCCGCGCGCAACGATAGTGATCTTGACGGTGCGCGATAATAGGCTGTTAACTGAATGACTATTATGCAAATGGAAGCTATCTTACAATTACGGAGTAGCCGTACGATATTTCGCTTCTTCAAAGCTCCCCTCCGAGTCAGCGGGTGACAGCTGTTGTCCACGGCGGTTGGCGGACACAAGGATTTGAGATGCGAGTGCGGCGTCATTAGGCCGACGAGAAAGCAGCGCGGACGCGAGCCGCGCGTAACGAGGCGCGCTTTGTCACGGGAAGCACGGCCGGGCAGCGCGCACTCAGCGACAAAGTCGAAGGCTGTTTGCGCGGCAGCGCGGAGAGAGGTGGGGGGGAGGGGGAGGCGTCCGCCGAGGGATGCGCGGCCGGCAGTCCGCCGAGGGATCAGAGCCGCCTGCCGGCGAGCACGGCCGTCTGGTGCAGAGGGCCTATCCGCTCGGACATGAGCTTGCCGTCGTAGCAGCGCTGCTGGTCGTAGCGCAGGCTGTGCAGCCACTCGAAGCCGAACTGCTCGGCGAGCGCCTGGCTGTAGTTGGAGGTGAACACCGCGTAGGCGATCTCCGGCGGCGGTAGCCGCCTCTCGACGGCCAGCTTGCGCGCGAGCTCCAGGCTCGAGCGCATCAGCGAGCGGCCGACCCCGTAGCGCCGGTACCTCGAGTCCACGCCTATGTAGAACACCTCCAGGGCCGTGGTCACGCCGTAGTGCTCGAACACGTCCACGCTCGACTCCAGCTGCCATCGCAATCGCACAAATCACAATCGTCCCTCGGCCGCTTTGCCTTTCTCGTTTACCAGATAGATCGCTTACCGGAGCAAATATTAGGACTGCGCGTCGACGCGGCGCGAGCAGTTGCTTGAGCGCGGGCAAATAAACCGATAGCCCCGGAAAAAGGAAGAAAGAGGTGGCTCTATCGTTGACAAAACGTAGCGTAATAGGCGACCGGTAAACGCAATTCCGTCGGGTAAACACGTCGCGCGCGTACCGGCCGAACAGTCCGAGCTGCAGCCGCGACGATTGGCGGCCGAAAATCCGGCGGGAGAATAATCGCCCGAGGATCGCGCGCGCGAGGCAAACAGAAAAATTAGCCGACGATAGTTGTATCCGGCAGCGGCGCGGGGGCGCGCGCGCGAGCCAATTAGCCGCGCGTCGGGACGTCGTCGCTCTTGGGGGAGGGACGGCTCGTGGCGCAGAGAGCATGGACGGAATACACGGCACCGGAGAAAACGCAAGAGCGTTACGTGTCGCGCGACGTTCGGCGCCGCGCGGAAACCTTAGATCGCGCTGCGCTTTTCCGAGGCTTGATCCCGCGCGATAGCCGCCGCCGCCGCCGAGCCAGTTCATTGTAATTGGCCGCGCGCGCGCGTGTTCGTGTGTCTGCGAAAGAGAGCGGCAGCGCATGCATCGAGGTCTTGCATCAGAGCCAGCCGCTATCCGATTAGCGTATCGAATGTTTTGCATTTTTTTCGTCAGTCGACTCGACAGCCTTTGCAACTCCGACGTCGCGACGTCGTGAGAAGGTGCGCGACTATGCCTCCGCGAGGGAACGGCCGTTGCAGCTGAAAATAAGCTCGCGGCGCTCGATCGGATCCGAAGGCAGCTGCGCCGGAACGCGCGCGCTCTATCTCGCATTGTCATGTAGATAGATCGTGCGCGCGCCGGAGAGTGCGAGTGTGAGCGAGCCGCTGACGGCATCGATAACCAATCGGCAGATCTCGCGCGTAAAAAGTGTCAAGGATACGGATATGGAGCCGCGTGCCGATTAATCATATTACGGCTCTCGGACGTATTCATGGGCTGCTACCTTCTTCGGTTCCATTCGAAGACTGCCAAGTTCGCTTGATCTGAGGCTGCGCGCGCGGGGACAAAACGGAGACAGCCACAGCGAAATAGCGACGCCACGCGACTCGGTGATATTGACCTCGTGTCCCAGTTTGCACCTGCTCTAATCAAGGATCATCGCGGCGCCATTGTAATGAGTGATTAGCGCGAACGTGCGCGCGTTTATCGCGAAACCTCTGACTTAATTAGCGGCTTTATAGCGCCGTCGAGATTGTTTCCGCCTTCCAACTTTCAATGCAGATTGACTTTGATCTCGGCGGCCGACAGCTATAATGCCAGCTATCGCGATATCGTCGCCTTCTTTCACCGCTGTACTTCAATGCTTGGAATCGTGACGGCCATCCGAAAGCCCTGATTTTGCGTCTGAGTCGACGATGGCAGCGAGCCTTCTCCACACAATGCCCGCTCGAGACAATGAAACGAACCCACTCGGCAGAATCGAATAAGGTGATTATTACGGCGCGAACCGTGACGAGCTAATCCAGTCGGATGTATGTACGAGCCGCACCGTACGCTTTGACATTGCGAAGACATTAGCCCCATTCTTTCTTTCAAGTGTCAAAGTACACGGACGCACGCTATTTCCACTTTTGCGTGCGAATCCCGACGGCGAGTCGGCGCGGCCGAACAGACACGCGGGCGGTGCCTCGCTAGCTTTACGCGCGGGCTTCGCTGTCGATTCAAGCGCGAGTTGATAACCGCATCGGCGACGCTTGGCGACGCGCTCTCGAAAGGCCCGCCTCCGTTCGCAAAGACGCGTTACCTTGAAGATGAACCGCATGAGGTCAAGGGTGGCCGGGTGCTTCATGTTCTCCTCGACGTTTTCCTCCAGTGGCGCTGCACTGTCGCGCTCGGCTTTGGTCTGCAACAGTTGATAAAGGGAGCTTACGCAATCGTCGGGCTAGCGCTAATCTTTCGGCCGACGAGTCGGTGCGGCGGGCCGCTGCAGTCCGAGCGGAGGAGTGCGACAGCGAGCTCGGGGCCGGCGCCAAAGTGATTTTAGCGGTAGCGCGCGGCTCGGGCTGGGGCGGAGCGCGGCAGGCAAGAGCAGAGAAGAGCAGAGAAGAGCAGGGAAACCGCGAAAATAGCAGCGCGCTTGTTTAAGGCCGGCTCTGTTTGCCGAAGCGAGTGGAGCGGCAGGCGCCCCGCCGAGAATGGCAAACAGTCGGCCGAGAGCGCCGAGCGCGACTCACGTGCAGCTTGTTGAAGCAGACGCCGACGAGCTGGCCGGAGCTGGTGTCGAAGGCGCCGAGGCTGAGGCCGTCGTCGAGGATGCTGCCGAGGAGGCTGGCGAAGCCGTCGTGATCGGTGCCGCCGGGGATGTCGGCGATGCCGAAGCCGATGGTCAGGCACTCCTGGAAGGACGACTCGATCTGCAGGTTGGTCGCCTCCTCGACGTGCTCCCGCCCGAGGATCTCGTAGGCGATCAGCCCGGCCTCCTCGCGCTTGGACATGCTGCTGCTGATTTCGGGGTTGGCGGCCAACTGACCGGCCAACGGAGCGCTCGCTCGTCTCCCGACTGCCGCCCGAGCTTTTCAATCTGCGTAAAAGGCCGAGAGAGCGAGCCCCACTTCGCTATTATCAGTTCTATTAGCCGGCTCTCTCTCTCTCTCTCTCGCTCTCTCTCTCCCCCGGGTCCGCACGCGCCCCGCTCTTCGTCGTGCTGGCGCGCGCGCGCGCCGCCGCCGCGGCTTCGCGCCGCTGGCTCCCGCCGATAGCCGCACGTGCTGCCGCTTCTTATCATTTGCCGCTCACCACTGATCTCATCGCAGCCACTGCTAATATAATCCTCGTTCTCGTCTCTCGCTTCTAGCCGGTAGATCCGCTCGGCAGCCAACACTCTCATCCGATCGATCGATTCAATCGCCCGATACGGCTCTCCCAGTATATTCCAAGCTACATTTTCTAGGCTGCGTCGAAGGCGAACTACATTTTTTCATTTCTTCGGCTTTTTTGCTCTCGTTCGCTATTGTTGTGGCGGTAATAAGCGCCACATTAATAAATCATCCTTCTGCTCGCCGCTTGAAAAGTCGTTAAATAACGCAGGACTTTTCGCGACGGCGTTCGATCTGTATCAAGATAGCGATGATCTATTCGAGTAGCAATGTCACGCGACCCGTTGCTCGCTAGATGCTTGTGCGAAGGCAACGGAACGGTCTGATCCGACCGATAAGCCTGGGACGGAGAAACAGTCGAATGCGGAGGAAACACTCGGCGGCGTCGTGTCGCGCCCTCTGCCCCGATGTCGCTGCAGCTGGCCGCGAGTGTACTCCTCGGGTGTCTCTCGTCGGCCGAGAGCTCGCAAGCACTCGGACGCATTGACCCGACGCCACGGCGAACGAGTATTCGCAGTGCGCCGGGCAGTCGCGCTGTGCTCGAGTAACGCCCAGCCCGCGTCCTCCCCCGCGGCCGTGCCAGTTCCATTAAAGCCGTGCCGCAGTTATACGAGCGCGCGCATAGGGCTTGGGTTTTTATGCCGCGGCCGAGCGGAGTCGGGCCGCGCGTTCCGCCGCCTGCGGGGTGTTCGGGCTCGTTGCTAAATTCGATTACTGGCTTCGATACACCGGCGAGCTCTTTGCAGCTGTCAGAGCGGCGCCGCGAGACTTGCGTTTCCACGCTAATTTATCGACGCAATTATCCGCGCGGATAATGCCTGCGACGGCGCGCCCGATACACAGCCGGCGCGTAGTTTTTCATGCGCAATCGCGCAGGCTGCGCCCGCTCGCTCGCCCTCCCACCTTCGCCGGCCGTTTAGCCGCGGCTATTTTATTGCCACGCGATCGCAGCCTTGTCGCGCCGGCGTTTACGGCGTTCGGGGCTTGTCGCGAGCGACGCCGGCAGGCCGTGCGCTCGAGCGACCGACAAATTAACTGGCCGTTCGCCGCGGCGACGCCTCGCAGCCGTGGCGCGCGACTCTCACGGCTCGGGCCGCCCGCGTGCCTCGCGTAACCCTGCAAATCAGCCGCGCCGGGCGAAATTGCCAGCCGCCCCCCGTCTCGCCCCGCGGCTGTCTATACCCATCGGCACGTCCATTATACCAGGGTAAACTACGCGAAAGGCGCGTCCCGATCGTCAAACTGTGCTCGGCTGCTCGCGCTCGTCGTGGCTTCCCGCGCTCGGGGCGCCGAGCTATTTCATTAGAGCGCGCGCGCGTGCGCGACGCCGGAGAAAGAAGACAATTGAAAAAGGAAAAGAAGCGGATAGGCGCTCGGCTTTAATTCCCGCTTAATTCCTCGGAAGAGCGGAACAGCGGATTTTTCTATTCCATTAGAATTTCATGAAGGGAAAAGAGCTGCGGGCTAACGTGGCTTGTAAGCCTAATAGCTGGAATTCGGAAGGGGACATTTATAGATTGCGCGGCTGCCGTTTGGCGCAGTGTTTTGTTTGCCGCGCGTTGGCGGCGAAGACTAATGCGGCGTAACTAATGTCCTCTTGCTCTTCCGCGAGAGAGCAAACTTTTTGCCACCCCCTCGCCCCCTTCCGTCGCTCTCTCTCTCTCTCTCTCTCTCTTTTCTTTATTTTTGTTGGCCTTGTTTCAATAAAACAGGCGAGCTTGGGCGTCGAATGCGGCTAATAAATTGTGCAGAGCCTCCGGAATTGCGCGCGATCACGCCAAGCTTAAAGAACAGAGGCGACAGGGAGGCCTCCAGCTTGCAAAAAAGTTCTTAAGCTTCTGGCGCTTTGAATAATGTAACTGGAAAAGTTCATTATTTACCGAAAGGCAAACAAGCGCAGCTGCGATAAAGGCGAGCAAGCTCGAATGGCCAAGCTGTACTTTTCATAATTAACTTTTAATAAGACCCGGGGCTCTCCCTCGCTTTTGCTTTCGGGCTCTCTCTTTTTCCGTTTCCTCAATCTTCATTTCATTAGTAGGCCATGAAACGGTCATAGGGCTTAAGCATCGCTGGAAAGTTTTGCACTCAGGCGAGTGTACTCCTCGACGAGTCCCGGCTTGAAAAGCCCCGCATCTGTAATTAGCGCGCGAAAAGTATTGTCCGGCGCGCGCGCGCGCGCGCGCAGAGGCAGACGCTGCGTTGACCTGACCGTTCTCAACGGCCGGTATTGTCCGTGCGCGCCGCGTTAATACCTGTATAATACATCGCGCGCGGCCCATTCAGAGGTACTCGCCGGGACGACGGCAGACGACTGCAGCGAGCTTTTCGCTCTCGACTGCGCGTGTACCTTGCGTAGCCAATTAAACCCGATGCTCGCCGTTCCAGCTGAAAGAATAACAATGAAGCGGGGAGTTTTCGTTGGACGTCGAGCCACGCGCCAGACTGGGCCGTGGATTATTTACAGTTTCCAAACTGACATAGTGCGCGCCTCCGTTTCGCTTCCTGCCTCTCTCTCTCTCTCTCCCCCTCTCTGTGTGCTCGTGCGCGCTTATCGAAAGAACACTCGACCTACGTAGCAGCTGGAATGTAGTCCTCGGTATACGCAATTGATGGGGAAGCTCAAATGTTTAATGCCGCAGCCAATGCGGAAGTGGACGCGAGTCGAGAGAGCGAGAAGACATCCTGGTCTCAAGGCTCATTTTTCAGTCGAGGTCTTCCTGTCCGCGGCCTACTGTCGGCTTTGCTTGATTTATCGATCAAATAAATACTCGCGAGGTAGGTACTCGTCTCGGTGGACGTACCGTGCCGCGAGCAGCTATTCACGTGTCACACCGAGAAACAACGACAAAAGTCCCTTTCTCGAGCTCGCGTCCAAATTATCGCGTCCGCTTCGGCTGTCAGCAACAATGGTGCATTGTGGCAGTAGTTTTCAACAGCAGCATGCTGAAAAGAACAGCAGCTTTCCCAACTCGGTCGCGCTGCCGAGCAACCTGCGCATGATCCTGGAAACCCAATTCTTCGATCCTCGAGAGAGAGCCGTGCGAGTTTGAATTTCGACTGCTGCGCCACGACCGTATCGCAAAAGCTGAGTTGGACGATGGAAACTGGATAGGGGCTGCTGCGCGCGCGCGCGCACTTCGAGTACATCGATATGCGCGTGTTTCCGACATCGATACGCCGCTAATTCGCAGGCGCCTCCAGACGGATAGCCGTTACGTTACGCGCGCGAGTGCTCGCAATGGAAGTGCAGCGCAGCGCGCGCCGCGAGCGCGATAAGCGCAGCGAATTGCCCAGTGAGCTGCGTTATCGCGCTCGTTCGGGGCGAGCTGCAGCCCGGCTCCACGGTCGAGCGGCAAAGGGGGGGACCGACCGGCGGAGCCCTCGGCGGTGAGCGAGCGAACGGCGCGTCAGCGGCAGCGCGTCGACGCTGGAAACATCGGCTCGGTAAACGGCGCGGGCGCAGCTGCGACTGACGCGTCGGGCCCACAAATTGATTCGCGCGTCGACGGGCGCGGAGGCAAGCGCGCTAACGACCGAGGCTCGCTCGCAATTTCCACGCGACCGTACGGCGAGCGCGACGTCGGCCGGCCTCGAGGGCTCGAGAGCGCGGCCCTGGCCCGCCGATGGGATTCCGAACGCCAGCGGGAGCCAGCGGCGAGCGCCCGACTCGCCCGCATCGGCCTCGAGCGCGAGCCGCGGCAAACGCGCCGCGCCGACCGCACCGCGCGGACAAATTCGTTGGCCGTTTCCGCTCCACTGCGCAGCTCACGCGGCGACTCGCGGCTGCAGCCGACCGGAAACTCACTCGTCCCGTTCGCGCTCGGGTTCCGCCCTCTCGTTAAATCTGCCTCGGCCTCGGCCTCGCCGCCCCGGAGCGCCAGCGCCGAGGACGAACAACGAGGCGAATTGCCGCCGACATTGCTGACCCGGCGCTATCGCCGTGGCCGCGCTGCTTCAGCTTCCCGCGTCCCATTTCGTCGCTTTAAAGATCGTTGCGAGTCGAGCATCGACGGTTATTATGCAATCTTGGCGCGCTCGAGGAATCAGCGGCAAATCTCGAACGGTCCTCCGGGCGTTCGTCTAGAACGGAATTTCCGAGCGGGAGGCTGCGAATTCCGCCGGGCTCTCGACTCTTTCGCTCGGTCGGCGGCGTTCCGCGACCCGCGAATATATTGCAGTTGATAGGCCCAGCACATCGGGAAGCCAACTTTTTGGCAACGTTTCTGTCTAAATGACGCTAGTTGCGCGTTCACTGGATTTATCACGCTTTTTTGCCCGCGTAGCAGAACCGAGGTTGTTGCGCGCTCAGCATCCCTTTCGATGTTCGCGTGCACGTGTGCTCTTTCGATCGCCAATTGACGTATCACTTGGGCGCTACTGGCTCGGCTGGGAGATCGATCTGCTCGCCTGTTGGTTGATTTCATCTCCTTTTGCCCTTTTTGCTCCCGCGGCGATGGTTCTTTTATCAGAAATTCAGTAACGCTCGGGCGGTTCGTTTCGTTTTGTACGCAAGCGCAAAGCAAGAACGCAGACTCGCCGCCGCGTCTCGGCGTGCTCGGCTTTTCCATGATTTGATTTTTCCATTGAGCGGTGTCGACCGCTCAAAGTAACGCCGGCCGCGAGCGTAAACAGGATTTTTCGAAAAGCGTATCCGAGCGATATGGAAAGTTGGAGCTGCATAGGGAGAGGAGAAAGAGCCGCGAGCGCGTGGTCCTGCGGACGCGACGCTTTTCAAGCGACTACTCGGTCCGTGGACGAAGGGACGCGCAGACCGCACTTCGTGGATGATCCAGGGGCATTCGGAACGACTGCTTAGGCTATAGGTGCCCGCGTCATTTGCTTACTGCTCCCCTCGCCCTTTTACAGCTGATGTATGCCATGCTCATGGCTGATAAAGCTGTGAATTTTACAGGCAATATCGCGATACGGCCTGCGCGCTACTGCCACCATTTTTTATAAGTTTTTTACGTTTACCGCGCGAACTATAACCAATAACGGTCTCTTTCACGAGCGGCCCCACGAAATCTCTCGTCGCACATACATTCTATTAAATATCATTGTTCTCTGTTGCAGAACTCGACACGATGCTCTACGGCTACACCAACAGCATCTACGTGTTGGATCACACCCCGGAGTCCTTGCCGGTAAGCGAGCACAAGAGCAGCGTAGGAACTGTGACTCGGCAGCCGAGCGAGATGCGAAGAAAGAGACGCCGCGACGTGGCGCGCGTCGCAAGCTCGATCAGCGCTGGGTCCAGGGTCCAGGGTCCAGGCGCGGACGCCGCTCGGCCGTCATCGCGAAAATTCCCCGCGGCTCAACGCTTTTTCGCCTCTCCACCTATGAGAAATTGATATGCAGCTGGCGCGAGAGATTGCGCCGCTAAGTGCCATTCATCACGAGCTCACTGATGATGAAGACGTTATCCCGCTCCGTAAATTTCGCTCTCCTCCCCCTCCTCCATTTTTTTTAAGGGCACTATCAATCTCTCTTTACGCGTGCTCGAGAGAGTATTTCTTTGAAGCGGCTTTCCGCCGGGCTACCTGCTGAGAGTCAATCTATGGAAGCCAATTTCCCGGAAAAATAAAACGTCCGAGAATTCCGTTACGATAATAAATAAAGCGGTCAAGCTGCCTAGAATAGCGCACCTTTCGACGAGGCACCTAAAATTCGCGCGCGTTCACTTAATTAGGCTCATTAGAGGCCGCGGACCAACAGCGCGGCAGTGAAAGCCACCGTGCTTATTGTCATTTGGAATCCGCGATTGATTGCCGGCCGATCGGGGCCACGCCAACGCCTGCGTCTGCCGTGATCGCGTCGTTGCGACGGCCGGCATCAATCAGCTGTTTCGCTCGACCGCGGCTCCACTCGCATGCCCATTTTTGCGTGCACCTTGCTCTTTCGAGTGAGCTGCGTGCGCGCGCTCTTCGCTATTGATTTTCCCGAGCCGCCGCCGTCGCCGCCGTTGCCGCCGCCGCCGCCGCATGCAGCGACACTATCCTATTGCGTTCATTTGTAAATTCGAGCGTCAACGCCGGCCCGTCACGGCCCTCGAGAGCTTGCGGAGCTCGCGTTCGCGGCGTTCGGCACGCTGTAATCAACGAAGCTACTTCGGAGCTCGCCGTGTCGGCGTCTGTCGGGGATAACGCGGCAGCGGTGGAACAAGATTTATAAGGGCAATATCGAGAGACGCCAGCGCGCCCGTAACTGTCGCGTATAATCGAAATCAGTCAGCGCGGCTTCTGACGAGCTTTTATGATCATATTTTTTCCATTTTTTTTTATTTTAACGAGCGCGTTATTACGGCGAGCGCGAACGCCCGATACCCCCTCGGAGAGTAGCACCAGAGCTTTTTCCAATATTTACATTTCCGTTTCCGGCCAGGCGAAAAATGTTGGCTATTACGCCCGACGTACCCAATACGAGTATGCGTGTGCAGTCACAATTAAGTCGCGCGTATGTCGCGAAGACAAGCGCTGACGACGCTCTATTATTATAATTATTTTTCGCCGTGGTTGGAAGCACCATCACCATCAGTCATTCAACGTATACCCCTCGGCAGTGGTCATTGAAACGGAGAATGTATAGACTGTCCTGGGGATCGATGGAGTTGCCCTATAACTGTGAATCCATCGACGGTCATATATACGAGGATTGGCTGACAACGCAAGTCGAGGGGAAACGAGAGAGAGAGAGAGAGAGAGAGAGAGAGAGGGCTGAAAGTTTTAAGGATGCTAAGCGAGGATTGTTCAGCGCTGGGAGTATAAGGCTCGAGCTGAATTGATGCGACCTCAAGGCTTGGCTTGGCTTCTCCGATCCCCCAAGGAGTCGTTGGCGCACAGCTGTCTAGTCGAGTCGCTGCTCGCCGCCTACGCGCACAGCTAGCGAACTGCTCGGCGGCAGCCGGGTCTTTTCAATTTACGCCTCGACCCTGCAGCCCTTGCCGATAACGGATACATACGTACAACCGTCGCCATGTTTATCCGTCGCTATCCCAGTGATCTCGATAGAGCTGCTCCCTGGGCAATTCGGACGCTGCGACCGGCGAAAATAAACGAGCAAGAGCCGTGGTACGATGCAGCATGGCTCTGCTGGTAAATAGATAAGGGGCTGCTCGGAGGAACGCTCGAGGATGCGCAACGCGCGGCCGCCCGCCTCGATCGGCCGTGCGACGCGGACGGACCGCTCGGAGAAAAGTGGGTCCTCCGTCCGGAGCTCTGCAGCGGCGATGATCGATGACGGCGGTTCAGACGGCGCAGAGCTGGTGGACGGGCCGTTGGTCCCTATTGTACGAACGCGCTGCTCGCTCGATATATTTAGCTCGGGGAACGGTCGGTCGGTTCGCCGAGGGGACGCCTCGGCGCGATCACGAGAGCTCGGCAGCGGCGTGGCGGGCTATCTCGCGGGCTTTACGAGCTCGAGCGCTTAGCTCGCGATCGCACCGGACGGGACGGACGGCGCAACGACGACGAGCGCCATTGTCCGCTCGTCGGCCCCGAGACGTTACGAGTGCGCTCGCGAGACGTACAAAGCGTCCGCGCGCGGACGAGGTTGCGCCCGAGGCGCCGCGTGGCGCTCCAGCGAGGCGCGCCAGCCGAAGAGTTCCCCGCTCGCCCGCTCGCCCGATTCGATCTATTCCATTTAGTCGCGCTCGGCTCCCGCCGCGGAGCTCCGTTTCTTTGTCTGCGCGGCGCGATATTCCGTTCCATTCGTCTGCCTCTCTCGATACGCCGGAATCAAGCTTACTCGGTCGATGAAACGCGAATTTAGCGTACGCGCGCGGGGCAAGCGGAGAAGCGCGGGCAAGGCGGGCAAGTGAAAGCCAAAGATAAGCCCGGGTATTCTTTCCTCTGCCCACTCCCTTTTCTCGCACTTTCTCGCGTGCGCACGCCGGACTTTCCTCGTTAAAGGAATAATGGCTTTCAAAGCGAGGAGTTTGCCCGTGAAGGAGCCGAGGGGAGGCGCCGCTTGTAAAGCTCCTGCGCGACTTGCCGAGGAAATTCGCCACGGGAACCTGCGCCTCGAATGAAAAATTGGCCGCCGCCGCCGCCGCCGCCGCCGCCGCCGTGGCGCGGCTCCGCTTCGGCAGATCGATCGCCCGCGGCTGCAGATTCGAGCAAACTTTGAAGGCGGCCGCGCCTGTTGCAGGACATGGACATGCTGCAGTTGTTCGCGTCGCCGGCGGGTCGGGCGCTGGTGAGCAGGTCGGCCACTCGGGAGGAGCGGCAGCAGCAGCAGCAGCAGCAGCAACAACAGCAGCAGCAGCAGCAGCAGCAGCGCTCCTCGACGTCCACCTCGTCGTTGGGCAGAGAGCTGGTTTCGGGCCTAGCCTCGGGAGTGGCCTCGTCGCCGTCCTCCTTCTCGTCCACGTCCACGTCGTCGTCCTCCTCGTCCGCGTGCGCGTCCAACTCGGCGACGAGCAACAGGCGGCCTGGCACGGTGAGCGCCCCGACCTCGCCACCCAGCCGACAGCGCAAGTCCAGTACCGAGCTCTACAAAGAGGCCATTGAGATCCTCGGACTGACCTGCACCCTCAGCGACAGCTGCCGCTGCATCGACTGCCAGGTACTTGGCCACTTGCACCATTCGCAACTTACATTGTTCCGTTTCGGTCGCGCAAGTTTCGCTCTTGTATCGCCGCTCCGATCAATTCGATAGATTGAGTTTGGCCAAGTGCTAATTGAATTTACCTTTGCAACCAAATGTTCATCGATCGGGCTTCTTCGCCCATATCAATCACGTAATGATGTACGCGCACATGTATGTATCGCCGTCGTCCCAGCACTGCAGTTCTGATTAATTAATGCAGAGCCATCCGTCGCGAAGAATTTGTCGGATGAATAAGCAGATTAAATATCGAGCCCAGGCGCGAGGACGCGGCAACTTATGCCTGCGCGTATATTTTGCTGATCAGATCGCGCATTCGAATTCTGACGTTCCGTTAACAAGCCCGCCTTCCCCCAGTGTGGAGCTTGATCTATTTTTAACGTGATGCGGAGTTTCCGCTATCAAAAGCAGCGAATAAAACGACTAATTTGCTTTGATCGCAGAGTAACTACTTCGACTACGATGACGATTACGGCGAGGTGAGAACGGAATTGGCAGCTGGAACGCCAATACTGCTGGACCACGCGCTGACGCATCCGCTGGCCTGTTCCATTCAGTAGCAACTGATTTAAGCGCGGACACGTCTCGCCACGCCACGGCAGAAATTGCAATTTCTGCCTCAGTCGGACGGCGTCGCCGCAAATACCTTTCTTCCAATTTCACTTCATTGTTTGAGTTGCCATCGCACTGCTTAACATCATTATTCTTTACATCGACACCTTGTATGACAGTTTTACAGCGCTGTCGTTTAACTCATAACAAACTCTAGAGCAGTTCATCTTTAAAGTGCTGTATACTTGAGAGATACGTGAGCTCTCGAAGCAATCTGATTTGTCCAACTTTTTACGTTCATTCTTTTGCATCGACATTTCAGTTTGATTAATCCATTGACGGACATCGCGGCGGCAATTCTAGGCTATACGGAATGTTCAAGTAAATAAAAAGAAAGTGACAAATAGAACATAATGACAAATAGAAAATAAGAAAGTTCGTGAAAGAAAAATAGTTGTATTGGTACGAAAACGATTTTAGTAAAGAATTATTAAAGGTCATCTGGCGCGATTTTACGACGTTGCTTTAGCGAATCGATTTGTAATCGAAGAAAGTGTCGAAAATTGTTGATTGAGTTGCATGTGACAGCATCCCTTGCGCACAGTAACGCATAAGCAACAAGTATCATCAATAATGCATGATGTTTGATCAAGAATGATGATTATCGATTCATCATCGGTTACATAACATTCGTCTTCGAGCACGATAATATTTATCTATCAATGTACCAGTATCGAAAACATTATGTGTTCAGTACTATAACTTTCCAATAGACATCTTGGCTCTACATATATTTTCCACTCACAAGCCACGTTGATTTTGTATTTTCTTTGATTTCGATGTTATTGCGACAGTGTCAGCGAATTTCATTGATCGCTACCGCTATGAGATAACTGAAAACAAAATAACGAACTTATTGGCCTCAGCCATTTCTGCTAATCATTCGATCGATTTTAATGCCGGCATATATAATTGCAAAGTATTTTTTAACATCAATGTTTTATTATAGATATACATTGACGCGTGATTTACTGAGAGATTTTATGAACAAAGAAAAAGAAAAAAAAGACAAAAAAAAACAGAAAAATAAAAGACAAAAAAACTTGCATGAATGAAGCTTAAGTGCCAAACGCTATCTACATATAACCAAACCTTGATCAAACAATGGAAGTATCTACTTAATAACTATGTATGCATAATAATGTACTTGCCAAATATCAAGTGTTATCGTGTGTACATAATCTAAGAGACTGTGAACTTTGGCACTTGAAGAACCCTCTACAACTAGATGTCGATAATATTTCTACAATGTAAACGCGATACTAAGGGTAAAATACAGCTGCTTGTATAGTTTCGTAAACTCGTTTCGTCGTTGAAGGGTGTTATTTTAAAGACAGCATCACGACTTTATCGAATCTTTGTTTTCGGATGATTACTTGACTATGAGAATTGTGAATCGGTGAAAAACCAGCTGTACGTTTACTTTTCAACGGATACAACAATCTAAAGTAAAATAGCAGAAAGTAAGGCGTATAGCCTAATCCAGAGATACTCGATCTCGTTTGCTAATAGTGTGGAAATTTCATGAAAATCATTCATTTATCTGTGAAGCTGTCGATCGAAACGTCAATCACAAGAGCTATTGAAACTCTAAACGTCAAGTTTATCGTTTGCGTTTCTTAGTTAGTTATTTGTTATTGCTTTTTACAAAGATCATCATGTACTGCATCGTATACTAATCAATTATCAGAATAATAGTTTTGAATTTTAGATACGTAGTATAGTTGAATATTCTCAATTGAAGATAAAATGCGCTATATTGTTGTTAAACGTGTGTGAAGGTAATTGAAAACAATTTTGAAAAAATCATTAATATAGATTATTGACTAAAAATCTTTGACAATGATCATTTATTAAACGTTGATAACATGAAATTTGATATATAATCTGCGAATCTTTGGACCTTTGACATTAAGTTTGCCTTACTGTGAATCGGTCGAGCTGTACATTTATTTGTATTATATAGATATGATTTCCGCTGCTTCTCGAAGAAAGTAATGATAGCCATGGAAAGCGGGATAATGGATGTCAATACCATCGCATTGTAGATCGAGCGTGGCGATTGTTTCAAAACTTGCTCGAACTGTGGAGTATCTTTCTATAATAATATATGATGAAAATTTAACTCTATGCCACAATGACTCGTACAAATTTCTTTCATCAAGATTTGTATATAAACTTTTTAATAAGCATTTTATATTTGTAAAGGATATACGTGTATTGTTTATGATAAAACTTGACAAAGCCTTTTCTCGTTAGGCATTTTTCCTACTTGTAATTTTTGTTTTGCTGTATCCAAATATCATTTTAATAAATATTGAATCGACAAGCTATATACACCATCGACTTTCATTCGCTTCACCGCCCAAGTTCAATGGAAACCAGTCATTATTACGAAATCAACAGCTTGTGTTATTTATTTCCCGTGCGAATCGGCAAGCGAGCGTTGGCGCCGCGGACCAGCCTATCTATTTATTGCAATTACGCTGCAATTAACGGAACGCCGTTGGCTCGAATGTTGTTTCGAGAGAGCGCGTCAACGTTTGGTAAATATTTTAATGGGGTACAATATGGCGCTGCTGGTTTTAGTGAAATCGATTTTGACAAAGGGTGCCATCTGCAGTGGTCAGCCGCTCCCTTCGTCGAATCGCTCGAATCGTCGCTGTCCCTCTGCCGCGTGGCCGCGTACGGCGCGGCGGGCTCGCGCCGAGCTCCCTACCTTGCCAACGCGCGCTCGCGGCGAGCGTTGTGCCTGCCGTGGGCTACGAAGCAGTCGTCGGCAATGCCACGCGCGCGCAGCCTCATGCGAATAGAGTCGCGCCCGCGCGGCAATGGTTTTACCGAGCGCCGACAGCGATGCGTAGAATTGAAGGAGCGAGGAAAGCCAGCGACCTCGCTGGCACGGAGCAACGAGGCAAGCGAGATTTTCACAGGCGGGGAGGGCGGGAAGAGCTGCGGCGACGAGGCAGGGCGCAAGTACATAAAAAGAGATGACGAAGGGTAAGTGGAGGGTAAGTGTTATCGAGTTACAAGATCCGGAGTCCGTTTGAATACGATATCAGGCCCGATGCTGATAGACAGTTAAAGAAGCGTCGGATGCAGGGCAGCTCTGTAAATGTATACGTGTACATCGCTGTCGCCAAGATGCGATTATCCCAAGTCTCCTGTAGGCGGCTTCATCGGATCGGTCGCCTGGACTCGGCGAGCGTTTTAGCGTGCCTGCGACGTGCTCGTCGATGCGCGGAATACTTAAACTGCGCGTCCCAAGCGGCATGCGAAGCAGCGGCGGCGGCGGCAGCAGCAGCATAAAGTATTCCCTCTCTACTCGCAAATGTCTCGCTTTTCCGTTCTTTTTTTTCTTCTTCTTCATCTTCGTTTTTTCTTTTTTGCTTTTTTTCTTTTTTTCTTTTTTTTTTCTTCGCTGCCTCTGCGCAGCCTCTCTTTGCGAAAACTGGCCGGATCGAGCTGGCGAGGAGGCGGAAAAGTGAGTTACGGCGACGTCTTCGCGGCCGCCAGCTCGGCCTCGAGCGCGGGGCACGAGCCGCCTGCTCGCGCTCGCGGCAATTAACGGATCGACGCGCCCGCGCGACAAACGGCGCGGCGGCCGATCGAAGCGACGACTGCTCGGCACGCCAGAGACGATATGGCGTTCGGCGCAAATTGCGTATCAATGCTTAATGAAGATCCTCCGGAGCGGGCGTGCACAAGCTGCGGCCCTCAAAGGACACACTACGCTAGACTCGATCGCAGAAAGAACGGGGGAGAAGTTCTTGAACTGTGCGCTCATCAATGATGCAGCTAAAGGAGATATATGGGCGCGATCCTCTGGGGTCGATTTCGAGAAAAGTGGAGAGAGAGAGAGAGAGGACACGCAGCGAATAATCACTTTCGGCCGACCGATACCTGTCGATTCGCGCGGCCCGATCATTTATTTACAAGGCTATAATGAATCGAGCCTCCCGGGGACGTCGTCATCGCCTCGAGCACGCTCGATGTCGCGCGCGCGGCCTCGCATAATATCGCTATAAGGCCAACGCGCGCGCCTACCCGCGCCTACGCGCAAATTGAATTTTCTCTTTTCCCGTTCTTTCCTGCTACTCCCGTTGTCTCTGCGCGCCTCGCGCGAACCTCATTTTTTGGTCGATTACGGGACGCTTGTCCAAGACTGAGCGATTGCATTGGCACGTGCCACAAGCCTTTAACCCGGCGCGCGCCTAAGAATGCCATTTGTTTTGTTCGTTGTCTTGGCCGCTATTTGTTAGCGCCAGCCTGACGCGCGCTGTCTTATTAGAGGACTCGCCTTGACAAATCGCCCCTTTTTTAAAGGACTCCGCGCGAGCCTCTCATTCGGCTCTTTGACAAATGCCCTCGGCGAGCCAGACCCTGCGCGAGCTCCAATCGAATTCTCGATGAACACCGCGCGCCTCGCGACATCCGAGAGCTTCGTACTCGATCCGGGGAGGCAATTCCAATTTTTTTTTTTTTTTTTTCTTTTTTTCGCGGCGCGATTATTGGCGCGCGCGGCGCTGCCGAAAATTTACATGCGTATATAACTCTGAACAAACAAACTGGCAGCGGAGTGGAAAAAAGAGAGAGAGAGAGAGAGAGAGAGAGAGAGAGAGAGAGAGAGCCGCGTAAAATTTATTTCCGGCTTTGCCGCGACTTAATTGACTTAAACCGGCGAAAATTATTCCGTCGTATAACTTTGAAAGGCCAGGCGCGCCGTATACGCATACACGTTTCTCCGGAAAATTTTTTGTGCGCCCGCATTTGGCAAGTTATTCGCGGGTCTCGCGCAACCGCGCGGCGGAGAACGATGGGAAAAATATGAAAATTTGCCTTTTTATTTGGCTTGACTCTCCAGAAAAAAAAAAAAAAACGGAGAAGAAGAAAGCAGCAAGCAGCAGAGCTCCTGCGTCAAACGGCTTTGAGCAGGCGAGAAAGTATGGTCGGTTGACGCGCGTACTTGCATTCGGCCGAGCCCTTTCATCGGACGGTTAAGGACGGTTGACGGGTAATCCTCCGCATCTAAAATTCCATTAAGCGTGCGAGGCCGGGAAAAAGAGCGACTAGTCCGGGCCGACGGGGAGGGGGGTCGGGGTAATTGGAAAAATGACATTTTTCGCGCGCGTGATCCCGGGACTTTGGCGATTTCGCGCGCTCTCACAAAGTGGGATTTCGCAATGAGGCTTTGGCATGCAGCGCCGTGCTTGTTTGTTGCTCGCGGCCGTTGGCCGGTCGGCAGCGTGACATTAGCGGATTAAAAAGAGTGCGCGCGGCCGCGCGAGACGCAGCTCTCCCAATAAAATTCAATGCCAATTAACGGACAACTGGTCCGCTCGTGCCTCCGGTGGTTCGCGCTGGCACGGCGAACGCGACTGCACGTATAGCCTACGGCAGGCGACGAATATCCGAGTGCCTAGCGAGTCGCTTGGCTTCAACTTGGCACGCTACGAGCGTCGCGGGGGTTATCTCTGTGGAATGGCCGCGAGCTGCGCCAGCGAGAGAGCCGTAAATAATACGAAAAGGAGTCCGCGCGGATCCCAAGAGCGAGCTACACGCGCGTATGCATCGCTTATGCCGACGAGCCAAGTGCATATACGTATATGTATACGCGTGCTGGCTTCGAACGACTGCGCAGAGACCGCGTCAGTTTTGGCTTTACAGCCGCCTGCTTCTTCGCTGTATATAAGAGCGCGGATCACTTAGGCGCTCGAGAATGAAAAAAACATTGCCAGTCGCGTCGACCCGGCTGGAAGGATCTGCTTGCGCTCGCGCGCACGTGCGAAAGGGTAGCGCTGGGCCTGGCGCGCGCACAAGCCGACGGTCGAGTTGCGCCGCCGCAGCCTGCCGACGTGCCGCCTGAGAGTTGTCGCCGCTTCGCCTCCGCCGTCGACGTACCATTCGTCACGGCCAATGTTTTTTCAGCGGTATCAGGTCGCCTCGGGCGTGCGCGCCCCTCCTCGGGCGAGTCGCTTGCGCGCGGACATCGGCATAATGACGCGAGCGTGAATCATGAGATCGCTCGTCGCTATTTAATATAGGCTGCTCTACATTAGCGCGCAGGCTGCTCGAGAGCCATTATGCCGCTATCGGTTCTCTCTGTCTCTCAGTTTCTCTGCGCGCCAGCAATCTGTTAATCAAGGCGCCTGCGCCTCAACGACGAGGGCATCCCCAGCCAGCTCTAGCCCTCGCCTCAATTAATCTTGCCCAGAATGCAATAACTGTCCAATCTGCCGGCGCGGCGCGGGCGGCTGGGCTGCGTCACGTCGCCTCCTTCTCTCCGGCCCAGCCCGACGTTCTTGCTCGCCGTCTCTCCCGGCCGCGAGCCGAAGCGTCGGGCAGCCGCCACGTATTCACCGCGCGGCGAGGCATCCGCGGTGTCCGCCGACAGATTTCGGGGCTCGGCGCCGACCGATCGCGCGCGCCGATTCGGCCGCGGGGCCAGCGACGGCCGAACGATAAATTCAGGGCGGAGGCCGAAAAAATCATCGGGGATGGATTTAAACGGAGAGACGTTAAACGCGCCGGGGCGACCCCCCTCCCTCGTGTTCCCCCGCCGCCGCAGCAGCCGCCGCCGCCGTGGTCGTCACGCGCTCGAGTGCGCGTACGTGCAGCGGAAACGAAAGCTCCGGAGAGGGGGAGACAACAGCGCGCTCCGAGGACACCAAACATATTGGACCTTTGAGAGCGGGACAGTTTGCTTAATTGCCGCGGTGCCAATTTTTGTTATTGCCCAGAAGTGGAGCAGACCGCCCGCGCCGTTCGCCCGCGCGCTCTTACGATCGCAGGTGCCGTTTCGATCCGCCGGCTCTCCTTTGCTTTCGCTTGCTCCTCTTACGACTAAATTGTTATTCGGCTACATGCTCAAATGCAAACTCCAGATTTACAAATAGTAACAGCGTTTATTCATAATCATTATAATAATCATAATATTAATCAAATAATCGTCAAGATAATAATGAGAGAATAATAGTAATAATAATGACAATAATAATGAGAGTAATAATATATGTTTATGTATAATGTCGATAGCGAGGTCTAATTACAATAATTACATTACAGTCCAAGTTACAACAATGAGAACTCGGCTAGCGACACGTCTAGGGAAAACTGAACGAATCTCCGTGCTCGGAGAATGTCGCGGATGAGCTTATTATATCCTAGCTTTAGTCTATCTATTTATAATGTATCGTTAATTATTATTTAAGTGTTGCTGAAACCTTGATTCGTTGCTCGCTATTCCTTCCGCATCAGCTTCGTCCTCTTTGACTCTTTCTACCTTTAATCTATTTCCAAGTAATATATACACATATATGTGTATGCATATTTATAAATATATATATGTATATATTTCACGGACTACAATTACGTATTTACAAGTGAGTTTTGGTCGCAGGCTCGAGTTGGCGCAACTTCGATCGTACATTGTACGCATGGCGGCTGAACGCGTCGCTCGATCTCGCGCGCGTGTCTCTTAAGTACTAAATAACAATGAACGATGAATGAAAGAGTGCTTGGTTGTTCATGAGCAGCTTCACGCGGAAACGAAAGATGCCGATCCGACGAGGGCGCGAGTCCGACCGTGCATCGATTGCACTGTAAAGGAAGCAATATTCGACGTAATTTGACTATCTCTTTCTCTTCGTCCTGCTCGACCAACGAAGATCACGCATCCCCGCGTGGTGCGCGTGGCCGTGGGTGCGTGTGCGTTTCGGTGTGTATGTACAGTGTGCGCTGCTGAGGTGTGCGGTTAATTTGACAAATTGACGATATCGTTTAGGTGAGGTGGAGAACAAACAATGCTGTACAGCAGCACGAGGCGAAGCGGCTGAGCGAACGCGTCCCTGTGCCGGTGGACGACGCCTAGTGGATGATCGGCGGTTGGGCGGCGGACCCGGCGGCCGGCAGCGGATTCATGCCGGAGCGGTGGTGGGCGCCGGCGCTGAGGTCGGCGTGCTGGGTCTCGCGGTGGCGGCGCAGGTCGACCTTGCGCTGAAACGCCCGGCCGCACAGCTCGCAGGCGAACGGCTTGAAGCCCGTGTGCTTGCGCGAGTGCGTAATCAGGTTGCTGCTCTGCGAGAAGGCCTTGCCGCACACCTGGCACTTGTGCGGCTTTTCACCTGCGAATTCAAGCAAAAAAGACCGATCAGTCGCTGCGCAATTAGCCTACAATCCACGACTGACTCGAGCTACGTTCGGCGATATTTTTCGCGAGAGCGCTGTCCCCCATCGCGCCATCATCGCCGCTCGCTCATCCCTTTCCCCGCAGCAGTCTAATAAATCGCTGAAATCGATCGGCCGCTACTAAAAGACTAACCCCTCTGGAGGGCATCTCCTTCTCTCGCCTCTCTTTTGCTCGCGTAGCTGCCGTCGAATCAGTCTGTCTGTCTCTCTCTCTCTCTCTCTCTCTCTCTCTCTCTCGCAAGCTCCGGCATCCGGGATTCGGGGCACGCCCGGTCAAGATTTCCTCCCGAGCGAGAATCTCAGCCACCCCCGCCACGTGAACCCGAGTGCGCGCGCGAAAGAGAGAGAGAGAGAGAGCGAGGAAGAGCGCGAGCGAGCGAGAGACAAGAGCGAGGACGCTCTGATTGGCGGCCGGGGGCGGCTCCAACCCCTCGTTACCATAGCTACCCCAGCAGAGAGAAAGCGCGAGCGAGAGCGCCCTCTCGGCCTCGAAGCAGCAGCAGCGGCGGCAGCAGCGCCCGATAGAAAGCTGCCGTCGCCAAACTGCGCTGCGGAGGATGCGCTCGGTTTTAATGGACTCGTCGTTCATTTGCCAAAAGCTCGACGAACGAGGCCATTGGTGGACAGACGTGGAGCACGGAAATCGGGAAAGAGGCCGCGGATGCAGGTGATACACTTGCAGCGTGCAGGAGGCCGTAGTGGAATTTCGATCGACCGGTCGCCGGCCGCGGTGGGGGGTGGGGTGCTGCGGCGAGAGCAGATGCAGAAAGCTCGCCGACGATCTTCGCCGTGAGAACGAGAGGAGAGGAAGTCTCTCTCTCTCTCTCTCTCTCCGGGGAATTTACGGGCTCGTAAAAATCAAGAAGCACCGGCCGGGCTTGGCAGAGCTTGGCCCTCTCCGTCTTTATCTTCGCGCAGTCCGTTCACGTTGTCTGCTGCGCACTGCCGAGCGAACAACGCACGCTACCTACACATTTCCACCTACACGGCTGCTCGAACCCGCGATTTTTATCGGTTTCCGCTTTCTTCCATTGCCGCGCGCGCAGTTAGGATTTGGGGCGGTAAAAAGCTTTCGAAATTGGAAATTACGCAGCGACCGCGCGACCCGGCCGCAACTGTTCTCGCGAAGCAGCGGCCTGTGCAGCGCCACAATATAAAAGGAGCGAAAAAATGCCGTCGCGTCGAAAGTAGCATAAAAAGTTTTCCCTTCCTCCCGCGTTCTCTCGCTCGCTCTCTCTCTCTCTCTCTCTCTCTCCGCCGGCGCTCGTTGGGAAAGCGATCAAAGTGCCGTCTCGGAAAAATTGTCTTCCGCTTTCAATGCCGAGAGGAGGAAATAAACAGCACTGGAGGACCCTCAAGATTCGCCCTCAAGATTGAGGACGGTCTCGCGGGGTGGGCGGCAGCTTGTAATGGCGCCTTAAGTCGCTCGCAGCGGCTCTCATTGCGGCTCCCTTTGACAAGCGCGCGTGCGAGCAGCGCCGGCGCTGCAGAGATTAGCATATTCATCGAGAATTTATGGCGAATAAGCGGCGGCTTAATTATGACGGAGTGCCGAGAAACGGAGAGGGCCGCCGAGAGATGACGGAGCCCGAGGCTATTGCGGTCGTTGCCGGCTTCCCCGATGCTCGAACTCGCGCCGGATCTGATTATTCGATGAGATACGGACAGAGAGCCGTAGCCGGTTGGACGGTCGTGGCTGCAAATGAGAAGCGCGACGCTGGGCGGATGGCGCTCCGCGTAAAGGTAAATAGCAGCGCAGCCCAGCGTACGTCGCCAGCCAGCGCCAGCCGAGAGGTGGAGAGAGATCGGCAGAAGAGAAGAGGCACGGAGAGTGGGAGAAGTAGGCTGATGCGTAAGACGATGGCGGCAGGAAGCATTGATTTCCTCTCGTCTCGGCATCGAGCGCGACTGCGGCGAGGCGCGGCGCGGTGCGCGGCCGTCAGACCTCCAATCCAAATCCCCGTGAGAGGAGCCAAGACGAGTTTCTTTCTCCCTGGCACATCTCATATTTCACTCGGAGGACAGCCTGGATTTTCCAGGAGCCGCTTCTGCGCCTGGATTACCGCCAGCGATATCAATCAGACCCGGCCCGGGGATTCCGCGGCGACGCGCGGTTCTCCCCCTGGCCGCGCTCTCCGACGGATCACTCGCTCGACGAAAAATCACCTGGATCGCCCTGCTGAATAAAACATGGGCTTGCCGAGCTCGATCCAGACCGAGGTCTCGATGGAGTCGTCTGCTTCGACACGCGACCTCCTCTGCCGGGTGTACCTTTCTAGAGCGCGCCGCGTAATCAAAGCCAGCGAGCGAGCGAAAAAGAAAAGTCGAGACGCCTTGCGCCCCTTGCCCCAGACGAAAAAAGAGGCGAGAAATCGCGAGAGCGGCGACGAAGCAAATCGATGCTGCCGTCGCAGAGGATGAGACGGAGGAACGCCGCTCTCCAACGCAATTTGCAGCTTTTGGCGTGGGAACACCGCAAAATTCCCAGGACCGTCCGGCCACGCCCGTGTTCGTACACGTGTAGCCACGAGTCGACGCATCCCAAGCGAGCCCCGCTGCTGCTGTCAATGGTAAATAACTAAAGCTCCTCCGAGACCGTGTAGACCCAGCAAAGCAGGCGCGATGACGCGCGAGCGCGACAAACGAACTTTCGCCGATGATTGCGTGGACACGCCTGCCCGCACCTACGCCGTCCCTGGCGCCGAGCTCTGTTGTCGGTTTTCGAGCTTTTTTCAATCCACTGCCCCCTGACCAAATCTGGGGCGAATCTGCATATGTCGCGCCGGCGTGGCGATTCCGACAAAAAAAAAGAAAGGAAAAAAAAGAAAAAAAACAAACAGAAAATAGAAAATGAAAGGAAAAACACGGAACTCTGCCGTGGTCGGCAGCGTCGCGCGCAAGGTTGACCCCTGCTACTTGCCCGTCACCAGCAAGTCATTTGCGAACTGTAGTCTCGAGTTTCGTCGTCACGGCGTCGGGGCGCGAGTATACGTATATATGCTTGCGCGTGATATCCCGACTGGATTAGCATTGAACCTGGTGTTACGGGGGCCTGAGAGCTTGCGCCGCGCGTCTTCGCGTCAGCGCGGGCATTAAACATGCAAATGCCAAGAGTCGAGGAAAGGATCCGCGGCGCGCACAGCTCGCTGCGGTCGAGTTTCCTGGGAGTGCGCGGCCTCTAAACGGTATCCTCATCCTCGAGCGCCGAGGCGCGGACAGCTTGGCGCGCTTACGACGAGCAAATCCGTTTAAGTTCTCTGGACAATAGGGAATATTAAAAGTAGGACGCGAATGTAGATTGGTAATGAGTGATCGAGGGCCCATCGTACAATTAAATAGCCCCTCCTCGAATCCGATTCGACTAGAGAGAGAGAGAGAGAGAGAGAGAGAGAGCGAGAGAGAGAGCGAGCGCACAAGAGGATTACTATCCCGCATTCCCGGGACGACGGCGCTTTCCTTGCCGCAGCGCACTAAGGAGCTAACAGACTTAGCGGCTCGAGTATCGCCTTTCTCCCGCGCCAAACAGACAATGAGCCTGAGTCACATTAAGGAATCAGCTTTCCCAGGGCTGACGCTGCTTCTGCTGCTGCTGCTGCTGCTGCAGCCACGCTCGCGCAATCCAACGAAACTCGCGCCATTTTATTTTTCTTCGATGATTCCGACGATAACAATAGGCACCAGGCACGAGCCGCTGCCCTTTGGGTCTGTCGTCCGTTCGTCGATTGACAAAAATATTTGGGCAAGCAGATCAAAGTTAACTGACTAGGTCGTCGGTCGAGGAATCAAAACTCGAACGCGAGCGTTCACACGAGTCATACAAAGCAATGAAGCCTCGCGATAAAGACATCATAATAAGAGCCAGTCGAGTGTTTTGTGGCGTAAAGTGTGGCGCGTACGCATGCGGGCCGCGCAATAGTTTTCGGAGAGCGATGGATCAAGCGATGCGTGTACAACAAGTGTTGGCTGTCGAAAAGTTTACAGGCGAGCAGCGAGCGACCGAAGGGATGACGCTCGGCGCGACGCCTGCCTGGCAGCTTTTGGGGCGCCAAGTCAGCCGGAAACCTCTAATAGCTTTCGGAGCGCGGCCGCAGACGCGCGTACGGATGCCCCCGCTCTCGCTGCTAATTTCATAAGCATAGCCTGCCGCAGCTCATTGTCTCGCTTGATTTTCACTTTGACACGCGAGCACACGCACACCTCGTTTCAGCGGCTCGCCAATTTGAGCTTGGCGGCGTCGCGCCTTGCGGACCGAAACGAGCGTCAGCGGGATGGAGGAAGATCACTACGGGGCTCGCGAGGCCGAGCACTGCGGAATCTCCGACCTCGGTAATAACACGCCAATCAAAACGTAATTTCGGCGATCGACATTGGATTTCGGTAGAGTTAGCAGGGTTAAAAAAACAGAGAGGGTCCCTGGCAAAGTGCCAGGCCAGTTGGCCGGTCCACGTGCTTATATACTTTCCGGCACGAGCACTCGTCACGGCTCGCTACTGGACAGGTTGCAGTGTTTATTGTGAAAACAGTCGGGCCAGCTTCGGCCATTTGACGGATACACACGCGGGCGGGATGATGCGTGTGCCGCGCGCATCATCGAGCCATTGTTCGACCCGCCCGCACTTTTCTTACGGAAAGTCAGCGCGACGTCGAGTCCGAAGGTGCGATAAAAAGCAATCACCGAGAGAGAATCTTCCGATCGCTTTCTCCGATCGCGAACTCGCGAATCGCTGTCGCAGCGGAGCTCGGCTCGGATTAGCGAAAGCCTCGCTGTAGCGTCGGGCGATGATCCGAATGGGGTAGCGATCGGCGCGAAATCCCTTATAAAAGCCGAGAGGAAACGGAGAGGAGCGAGAGAGGGAGAGATTTCGGCCCGGTGTTTTTTTAGCGACGGCTGGCGCTCGCGTGCGTGCGTCGCGCAGGTTGCACTTGACTCGGGCTATAGCAGTAAGCCCGAAAACTGCGGTGCGCGCGCGCGAGAGAGAGAGAGAGACCGAGAGACAGAGAGCTGGCACGAGCAATATTTGCACAGCTCTTATTCTCGGGCGTCCCCCGGTGTTGCTGGCGCCAGTTAGCGCGCGTGTGTCGAGCGCTCTCGCGCTACCCACCTACCTAATAATGATTTTACGTTACGCCACGCCACGCTCCCCCGGGAATCCGACTCTGCCGCACCCTTATTGCACATGGCCCACTCACTTTCTCTCTTTCTCTTTCGCTGTGCTCTTTTTTTGTCTCTCTCTCTCTCTTTCTCTCTCTCTCTTTGTTTTGCACGCGTCTGCCTGCTTAGATTGACTTTGACCTGCTGCTCCTTTTTCCCCGGCTGTATGGCCGCTTGCGTCTATTTTGCGGCCGCGCTTTCGATGCCGCGCGCAACGTCCACGGAATATCATGCGAATCCGCGCGCTTTGCGGCAGTATTTGGACGAGAAGAGGGGCGGAGAGAGAGAGAGAGAGAGCAGCTGGCGTAATTAAAGAGACGAAAGAGCGGAAAAGCAGGCAAGAGGCGAGCAGATAAAGCGCGAATGGCCCTCGAGGCGGAAAAAGGTACAATGGCAGCTCGTAGACACACTGGGCAGCGCTGAATTTTTCATCGGGCTGAATAATGAATTAAATGTTCCGTAGCGAGTAGCGACCCTCGGCGTATTATATGCTTTCCCGGCTAGCGCAGTGTACGTGGCCCGTGGGTTGTTAACGACCGGCCAGCAACTCTTGTGAGCAGCTTTGTATCTCTTTCGCGGAGAGCGGCCGAGACGTCTGCAGAGAGCGAGGAGGCCGAGTAGGGACGACAAGGTGATAATTTGATAAGACATCGGGAGTCTAGGGTTGCCATGGAGACGATACGTAAGCTCTCTCAACTCTCGGTCGCCTCTCTCTCTCTCTCTCTCTCTCTCTCTCTCTCTCTCTCTCTCTCTCTTTCTCGAGTCCCTGAGTCTCGGCTCCACCTACCTACTGCACGGAACAGTCGGACGGAAAGAGGGATAGAGTACTCTGAAATCTATCCTCGCCAAGTCATCCTCTTCCATCAAGTTTCCAAGTCGAGACAGGCCGAGAGTCAAGTAGCAGTTGTCGGACTGGCCTCGCCATTCTTTGTTTGCCTGGCCTCTCGGTTCGCGGGAGCAATCGCAACTTACTACATCAGCGTGGCTAATCCCGACAACAAACTGGCCACTCGGCTCCAGCGGCTCAGGCGCACGAAAGTTAATCGGAGCGCTCAGTCGATTCCCACAGACAATTTGTCGGCAGTGAAAATCTATTTTCGGATCAGGAGCGCAATGGTCAGGGCAGCGGCGGTGGCGGCGGCTCGAGGGGGGGAAGAGCAGCCTCGGACGTATACGCTCAAGGGGAAAAAGACAGCGCGACGCGCGGAGCGAAGCGCCCCAAAAGACATTACGATTATTACGTCGAGGGGCAGGGGGGAGGACAGCAATCTCTCCTGCCAGTGGCGCTGCACATCTCCATATGCACATGTCGGGACGGGATTAAGTTATTCGGGGCAGCACGCCTCGGATATACACTCGACGATCCTCGATTGTTAATGCTCCGCTCATAATTGATACCCGCGCGAATGCGCATCCACTTGAGCTTTATCGGACTGGCTACGTCGCGCCGCGGGGCGAACAACTGTCGGATTTGGCAGCTAATTACCGGCGCCACGGCGAGGTTACCTGTGTGGATGTAGGTGTGCTTCTTCATGTCGCTCTTCTGGTGGAAGCGCTTGCCGCAGAACTGGCAGGGGTAGGGCCGCGTGTCCGAGTGGATGAGCAGGTGGGTGCTGAGGGTGCTGGAGCGCTTGAAGGCCTTGCCGCACTGCTTGCACTCGAAGACCTTCTCCGCCGAGTGGACGGCCCGGTGCTGCGTGAGGCTGATCTCGTGGCCGAAGGTCTTGTTGCAGAGCTCGCAGGCGAAGGGCCGCTTGCCGTTGTGCGAGCGGCGCGCGTGCACCTGTCGGCAAGCCTTCCATTCGACTTAGATGCCCCGCAGCGCAGGCCCGCGTCGGGCTCGCCGCCGCGCGCTCGTTACCTCGAGGCCGTGCGGCGTGCTGAAGATCTTGTCGCACTTGACGCAGCTGTAGACGTCGCCGAGGGGGTGCTGGTGGTGCAGGCCGTGGGGCCCGTGGGCGGCGTGGCCCGCGTGGGCGGCGTGGCTCGCGTGGAGCCCGGGGTGGGCGCCCGCCGCCACGGCCGCCGCCGCCGTCGCCGGGTGGACGACCCGCAGCAGCGGGTGCAGGTGCTGGCCCAGCAGGTGGTGCGGCAGCAGCTGCGGCTGCAGGTAGCTCAGCGGGTGGTGCGGGTGCGGCGGCAGCACCACGCCGCCGCCGGGCAGGTGCAACGGCGGGTAGAGCATGGCGCCGTTGTTGCTCTGCGAGTGGGCCGAGGGCGGGTCGGGCCTCAGCAAGGCGCTCACGCTGAACGAGTCGCCCGACCTGCAACCGAAGCGACCGGCCCTCGTATCCATCCTCGCCTTCGACCGCGGGGCCTCGCGCACTCACCGCTTGGCCGGGTTGGACGAGAGCGCGCCGCCGCGGGTGAGGCCCGCCGGCGACGGCGGCGAGGTCGACCTCGGCGTGCTCGAGCCGGCGTCCTCGTCGCCCACCTCCTCGACGTCCACGTCCACCTCCTCGTCGTCGTCGACGTCCACCTCCGTGTCCTGCTGGTCGGTCCTCGGCGAGTCCGGGCAGGGCGAGTGCGAGGGCGACCTGCGCGGCGATCTCGACACGGGCGAGCCCACCAGTCGACCCACGCCGAAGGACAGTCGCTCTGCGGACAGAATCGGCCAGCCGCCGCTCGTTAGGCGTCGCCGTCAGCGCGGGCGAAGAGGGGCGCGGGCGAGGGGTAGCGCAGCCTTCGCTAACGAGAACTTCACGGGGCCGAGGAGCGAAGAAGGAGAGCCGCGGAGGAAAATGGAGCTGTGCCCGGGCGTCCGCGGAATCTCAAGCGGAGATACAGCGGCGTACACGGGGCAGAGCTTTCCCCGCGCGGCAACGGACGCGGCAGCCGAGGCGAAATGAGATTTGAGTCACGTAGCGTACGTCTTTCTCGGCGAGCGAGCTGTAACGCTAACGAGGCGCGGGAGAACGTGTGCGATCGTCAAAAGCGCGCCGCCCCGGCCCGGCGCTGGCTTTCGGCTCACGAGCTGCTGCTGCTGCTGCTGCTGCTGCTGCTGCTTGATAAACGCGCGGCCGCGCGACGTCGGAATCCGCGATTTCGACGAGGTGCAATCGCGCAAAGTGGCGCGCCCGGCGAACAGCGCGCGCCGCTGCCCGTCGCCTCTCTCGCATCGCCGTATGATCGATCGGTCCCGGCAAGTGGCGCGCAACTTAATGGGCGGTTCGGGTGCAATATGATACGCGCGCAGCCTAGATTTCTATGAGGCTACGGCGCTCGTGATTTACGACTGCGGCCCGGGCTGCAGCCGATTGCTTAATAATAATTCGCGCGGCCGGCTGCCAATGGGACGCGCTCCCTCGCTCGATTGCGCTGCCATTCTTCGACTCGCGCGCCCCGTGTATATTATATTTATAATCCGTCGGCGCGACAGCTCGGCACGTGCCGACTAATCGCGTTTAAAACACCAGCTGAAAGAGTATTCTCGCTCCTTTCTTCTGCCTTTGTGTCCCTTCTTTTCTCTGCGGCACACGCTCATTCCACGCCGCCCCCGCCCGCGACAATATCATATCGAGTAATAGTCGTTCTCGGCACGGCCGCGCACAAGTGTATAATGCGATTAAACCGTGAAACTGCTCATCTCGGTTATTCATTGGCGTAGTGTTTGTGACAAGGTCAGCTTTGTCGCGTTCATCCAGTGGATTTGTGCGGAGAACTAACTGAAAGCGTTGCAGGGAGCAAGACGAGCAGACGTGTTCTCAAGCTGAAAAAGGAAAAAGTGGAAGGATCCGCAGTGCACTTAATTTAGTTATGCATTACGGTGGCGCATGATCTGCAATTCTCATCGGACGGCGACGGCTGCGGCGGCTGCGACGGCGGCGCACCAGTAGAAGACGAAAAAAAGTGCCTGGGAAAGGGGAGCCAAGACGCGAATGAGAAAAGGAAAGCAGAGCAGAAGAGCAGCGCGAGTGCGAACTCGGTAGACAGATGGGCGTCGTAAAAAGCTGCACCGGCACTGAAGGCAAATTCTGTGAAGCTCTCGCGCACGAGATGCGAGTAAAGTGCGACAAAAACGAGAGAGAGAGAGAGAGAGAGAGAGAGAGAGAGAGAGGCAGTGGAAGAGGACAGAGAGGAGCAGGGAGAAGCGAGGAGGGAAAGAAAAAGCAAAGTTCGCACGACGCGGACGAGCAATCAAATTAATTGCGCAACGAGCCGCGCGAGGGTTTCTCGGTTGACGCTCGTTCATCAGTTTTCAGCGAAATTCTAAATAACTTTGAGATATTAATCTCGAGCCGGCCGCCGGAGTGGGCCGAGAGGTGATTAGTCAAACAAAACGCCGGGCAATTGACGAGGGAAGCAGCATTTAATCAGTCACGAGAGATAGTTATTTGGACGGAAAAAGTGATTAACCCGAATAACCAGCTGACATTAGGCTTAACATTTTGGCCTTTGATGAGTTCTTTTTGCTTGGCAATGAGCGGCTGTGTACACTTGTGAATTGTCGGCGTTTCATTAGGTTAATTGGTCGACGAGTATCCGTGCTACAAGAGTCGGAGCTTTGGCGCACATTGATATAATATACTAGTGACACGCGCCGCGCAGGTTAATCCGTAAGTGAGGCTTTTTTCCCCGACACGCCTATCTGCGTTCGGCCGCGCTAGACTAAATCACCTTTATTGTGCAGGCAGCTGTCATTATCATTTTCCATTTTCCAGGGATAACATACTTTTACGTGTAATGGATATTAAACTGGATTGCGTTTTCGCGTCGCGTGACCCTCTCCCTCCCAGCCCAACGATCGCGACGCGGTGACAAGTGGAAAAAGACACGGCACCAGCATCTCCTCTCGTGAATCCGACGTACACGGGGCATTTCTGGTTGTTCCCGTGATTGAGCGTCGAGCGTCTTGTCGAGGCATAAGGGCTCGCGGATTCGGCCCCGAGAGGACAGAGAGAAAGAGAGAGAGGAATACGATCGAGGAAAAACGGCGCGACGCGAGCGAGCGCGCGCGGGATTAATAAAGGAAGGCCGGGTGGCCGCGGCGGGTTGAACGCGCGCGCGCGCGCGCGGGAGGGGGTCAAAGACGACAATTAGATCGAGTTAACGGGCCAACTTTAATCTTCTGTCGTCCGTCAGTCGTTTACTGCGTGGTGATCTGCCGCTATTAAAGCCGTTATACACTTGCGCTTCCGAGGACTCGAGCGACCCTTCCGCCCGAGCGATCGCCAGCTTTTGCCAACGAGACGAGCGCATAGGCGGGATTTTATTCGTGGCGCGGCCATGCCCGACTCTTCTTTTCTTCCCGGCTCCGCGCCGCGCCGTCTCGCGTCTGTTTGTACTCGTTTAGAGATGATTGCATCGAGTTTGCGCTCGCGAAGTGGATTCGATTAGGAGCGACGTTGTCTTCTCTGAATTCCTCCGGATTCCGCTTTTTCGCGGATTCCCATTGAATGCGCTCTTGGCGATCGTTCGCGCGTCCGACCGCGGCGCAAATTGACTCGCTTCAAATATTTGAGTTGGCCGGACGAGCGAGGAGCTCGCCTTGATTGCGCGCGCGCGCGCGGGCGGCGCTGATTTGCGGCGCGCCGAACGGCCGTACTGATCGAATGAGCGGACGCCTAATGAGGAAACCGTCGGGATTAAGAAAAGAAAAGCTGTCGCGCCAATTCGCAGACGAGCGCGCAGCGACAAAGGAGCCGCCGCGCGGCGCGTCCCGGCGCGGACGGGAGGAGCAGCCCGCGCGCGGCAAGGTGGGGCGGCAGCGTTTAGACCCAATCGAGAGAGAAAGAGCGCCGCTGCCGCTGCCGCTCTGCGGCCCAATTGATCGCAATAAAAAGCAGTCTGTGCGTATCCGGACTACTGATAGCCGCGGGCGCACGAGCGACTGCAGCCAACCGCCCACGCACGCTCAATCGGTCTTTCGCCTACTTACAAAGCCACGGCGCGGCGCGGGGAGCGGGCGCGTACGACGGCCAAAGTTCGGTGAAATATTGGACGGAGTTGAGCCCTCTTACCTGGATCTGATTTCGGGAAGGCTGGCACGTTCGTGACCTCGTTCGCGCCGCCGAAGGGTGCCCACAGTCGCGGGAACACCAGCCGCACCTCGCAGCCTGCAAAACAAGCCGCTTCGTCAGACAGTCGTCGTCGCTTGCGACCGATGGCCAGCGGCGCGCCTCGCCGCGCTCTCCTCGTCCTCGTTCGGGAGGACTGCAGGAGTCGGCCCTTCGCTCAATCTGGCGGAACGTAGTCTCTCGATCTCGCCATGAATTACGTATTCCGCGGACGTACCGCGGACCTACCCTCCGGCTCTCGTCGCCGAGAACATCTTCATTAGAAAGACAGAGGGAGGCTCCATTTATCAGAGCCCACCTCCCGAGGCACTAACTTGTTCCTTGTGCTGACTTTTTCTTCCCTCGTTCTCTCGCCGACGCGTAAACGTACGGCGTAAGCGGCTCGAACGCCGACTGATTCACAAACAAAAGAAAAAAAAAAAAGAACCGAGTTACGTGCTTGATCAAACAGGAGGATTGGGAAAAGTTAGGCCGCCGCGGCCGCGATCAGTCCGTCGGGGCGTGCCGACCGCGGGAAAACGAAAAATCTTTAATCCAGGCCAATAGGATAGATAAGCTTCAACAGATTAGAGCCGCGCCATAAAGTTATCTCACCGCAGGATTATCGGAAATAAATCATGCTTCCCCGTGCCGACTAGCCGCGGCGTGCGAGCTGATAACAGAGCAGACGTCGATTTTCCAACGGCCCTCGTCGGCCGCGTCGCCTTTCCGATGCGGCAGCTCGCGCATGCCCGCAGAGCGCACGCTCGCGAGACGTCCTCGGGCCTCCAGCGAAGCCACCTTTCCGCTTCCCGGCGAGCGATGGCTCGCGCGCGGCAGGATCGACCGCGGAGCAGCATGCAAATGACCGCGGTCTCGGCCTGCGACTCGGCGAGCGCGGCGTTCGCGGAGGTGTCGCTGCCGAGCGACCGACTATCTGTCCTGATTTTGCCGCGGCACTCGATAATCTCGGCATAATCTCAGATCTTATCCTGTGAATCATATAATCTCTGTAACTCCTCTTGCAGCCAAGTCAATATCAACTTTATTGCAAACCTTGCTCGCTGGCTTGTGCGCGCGCGATAGCTAGATTTTTATTCGGCCGTCGCGAGCTGAAAAAGTGCCTCGCGAGCGCACACTAGGATGCGGCCTTATCGATCGATCGGCGCTCCGGTCGCAGATATAGGTACGCGCGGCCGCGATAACGCGCGCGGCAAATATTAAGTTTAATAGGCTTTAATTAATAGCTGCGGCTACAGTGCGCGGCCCCGAGTGCAGAACGAAACGTTCAATAATACTCGCGGCTGATTGCAGCAAAAAGAACGAGATTGTTGAGCGCAAAGCGAGGCAATCACTCAAGTTAAATCGACGCCCACAGAGAGAATGAGCAGCGAACAAAGGATGACTGGCTGCGTGTAGCTGCGCGCCGGAGAATTATTCAGTAGTGGATCAGCAGCAGCAGCAGCAGCAGCAGCAGCAGCAGCAGCAGGCTATCAGCGGGCTTTGGCGAGTCGATTAGCCCGAGCCATTAGTATAGACAGCCGTCTAATGCCGTGTCCTCTCGCTCTCTCTCTCTCTCACCTGTTGACGCTCTCACGCGACACTCGCACCCGCCTGGCCGTCCTCCGGCGCTCCGCGCTGCACGCAACAAGCTGCTAATAGCCGATAGCTGCTAGTAGCCACGCAAATTGCACTGCGCGACTTGGAGTTCGAGCGGCGCTCGCGGCGATTCTTCGGCCCGCCCACCGGCCAGGCTGCCTCTTGCCGCGGGCACCCGCTCGTGAGGATTAATTGCCCGTGATCCGTTGATCGCGCGCCGAGCGCCGATAATGGGCTATCGCGCCGAAATTACAGCACTCGAGCCGACCGCGTCAGCGATCCGTCGGGCGCGTGTTTGCGCTCGCGAGCCAGGTATTAATTATCTGCACCCTCGCGCACGCAGGTACCCCCATCGGCGCGCGTGCAGGTGCAGTCTCCCGATGCAGGGGGCGTAATGGCCGGGTGAGTAATGGACAGGCGGATGACAAAGGCGAAGCGCGCCCGAATTCCCGCGCCGCATTTGCTATTCCTTTTTCGGCCGCGGCCGCGCGCGCGCGCGCGAGATAGCGCCCGCTCGCCGACGCAGTCGAGTGCCAATTGCAGGTTTCACTTCGGCCGCGTCGCTGCTCCCCCGATCGGGACCGCGGCCGACGCGACCGGGACACGCCGGGGATGGCCTCACCTTCGTCGACGGACAGCCTGCTCGTGTCCTGCGCGTTGTCGTTGTTGTTGACGTTGCTGGTGTTGTTGTTGGCCTCGGGGGCGCCGTGCGGCTGTCCGGCGGGCTGGTGCACCTGGACCGGCTGCTTGGGCTTGACGAGGCGGAAGGCCGAGGCCTCGGCGACGCCTCGCCGGGAAAAGTCGAGGGGGCCCACCCCGGCGGGCGAGTGCTGCTGCTGCACCTCCATCATCGCGTCACGGCCTGCGGCGGACGAGCCGGCGGAACCAGCACCAGCACAACAACAATAACCACCACCAGGCGAGTCCTACTGGGCACTGACGAGCGGCGCCGCCAACGGAATCACGGGCTCGCGTGGACTGCAATCTCGACGGCTGCAAGTAGCTGCCATGAAGGCAGCGCGAGATGCGACGGCGAGGCGACTCGTCGTTGTGTGCAAGCTGACTGTCGCTCGGTTTTTAATGCGCTCGGCCAGTCTGCTTCGACGTCTCCCGGCGGCAGCAGACGACAGAGAGACGGAGCCGCGCGGCGGCGCCGGGATTTCAGCGGCGAGAGCGCGCTCGGCCGAGGCCCCGCCTACCCGCAGCCAGCGGGGAACGCCCCCTCTGCCTCTCGCGCCGTTCTTCGGCGCTCGCTCGCTCGGCTCCGACTGCACACCCCCGCGCTGCCCTTCTCGCGACGGCGCCGAGCGCGCGCGCGCGCCTCGCACAGGCCTGCCGGGCGTCGCGCAGCCGCCTGCGCTCCCCCGCGAGGATCCGCTGCGCCCGCGGCGTCCATTCGGCTTTTCGGGGCCGCGCGGACGCGCCGCTCCGCACTTCGCGGCTCTGATTCGCTCTCGTTCGCTGCCCCGGCGCTCGTCGGCTCCTTCGCCGCCGCGCGGAAACTGATTCGGCGGGCGCCGGCTCGCGCGTCGTCCACGGCCGATTGCCAGCGAGGCAGCGCGAACAAAGCGCCCGATCCGCTCTTTCGCCATGAAGCACTTCCGAGCGAAAGGCTGCGCGCGCGAGCTATCTCCGCAGCTTTGGGATTAACCGATAACGCGGCAAGATTTTGCGCGCCAAATGTTTCCGATCGTTGCGACACCTTCTCCCACTTTCTCGAGCCTCGGCAACGCCAGTGCCGCTCTCCCAGTCTCCGACGCTCCAGTCCCGGACGGATAACGTGCGCAATAGTCTAAAATGCTACGACCAAGCGCTGGACGTTAACAATGATGAATCGGCGTCATAGTATCAAGAGAGCGCATACTTATCGTTCAATCATAATCTCGACGCGAAAATGCCGCCTGCGCCGCGTTTATTATTGCTGGGCTGCATTCAAACGTGTCGATTCATCGTTCGCGCCGCAAATCCTTTGATAAGTGCGCGCTCGCCGCGAGCCTCGGCCGATTGCATTTCTCTTTGTCCTTGCTCGCGACCGCTTTGCGTACGAGGCCTTGATCAATTACGATATTTTGACCCAGGCGATTTTCCACGCGCGAGACGCTGCCGCTCGGGCGCTCGCGTCGTGACGCTCAGGTCCACGACGAAAGAAATACGTCTCTGCGAAGCGAAGTTCGAGCGATAAGGTAATTGCGTCGAATAATGTACATTAGCGGGATGAAGTTTGGCTGGCAATCAACAGCTGTCAATCTTCGCGTGGCATGGGTTAATATTCTTCTTCCTTTCTTCCTTTTTTCTTCTTTCTTTATTGCCGTCGAGAGCCGAATTTCATTTGCCGCGGCTCGGGGCGCGCGAAAAGCGACATCAATCATATTCGCTCATTCTTCCGCGGTACTATTCCCCATCCGAGTTTTTCGAGCACTCGGGGCTCAAGGCCTCCTTGCCTCGCTGGAAAATGTATAGCGCGCCCCACGATCTATGCGCGACCGCAGCAGCTACGCCCAACGAAATTGACTCGTAACCACGTATACGCACGGACAATGTCGGTACGCGTTTGCGTCCGAAATGCTTCTCAAATATACCCAATATAATGCAGTTCCGATGGCACGCAACGAGCAAATAGACCTAGAGATCCGATCGGATCATTTCCATCTTTGTTTACCGGGGTTTGAACGGGACGTGATTTACAGAGCCGCGCGGATATCGCTTAATCCGCGGACACACAAAAGGACGTACGAGACGGATACACGCGCGCGGCTCCGAGGCACAGTCAATATTTCCCAACGACGGCTTCTCTTCATGTTTCCAGATTATCGCCGAGAAAAATTCTTATCCCGCGTTATCTGATTCCCGATCGCGTCGGGTATCACACCATCAATAAACGTCGTCGAGCCGCGCGCTCCGCTCTCCGCCCGAGAGAAGCCCGAGAGAAGCCCGAGAGAAGCCGCGCTCGGCCGGCCGGCGAAGCGATCAGCGAACGAGTCGAGGAATTGGGCTCGGCCGCAAGCTCGCGAAAATTGGCGCGCAATCCAATTATTGCGCCACGAACCGAATGCCAGATCCGCGGGCGGCGGGAGGAAATCCAAGGAGCGCGCGTATCGCGTCGGCCGTATCAATCATCCGAGGCATTAATGACGCATTTCGCGGGCCTTGATCCACTGACGCGCTTGTTTTGATGGCCCGCTCTTCCTTGCATTGTAATCGCGACTGCAGCCGTTATCGCTAATGCGTTCGCAAGCGCTGGATTATGGGCGCGCGAGTCATCGCACTCGCGCGAGCGGATCGTGCGATAACCTCGAGCGAAGAAAAAAAAATCACGTATACGAATTTGGCGCGCGTGGTCGCGTATTTTTAGAGGCGGATCGATGCCGTGCAGCGAGAGCACCGCTCGCGCTCCCGCTCGGTGCTTCGACGGCCGCGAGCGGCAAAAAGGAGATTGCCGATTGATCTAAGAAAAGACCCGATGGACGGGGGAAGAAACAAGTGGTTCGGCGCCGCCCGAGCCATCAGCATCAATGAGCAACATCGCCGCGATGACGATGACGGCGGCCAACAGCCTCGTGCCGCTGATCAGGTGGAACGAGATGAAAGCTCGGGAGCACAAAACACACAGGCGTCCGGCCCACGCGACACGAGGCACGGCCGTTTCCTCATTTCTAATACGCGGCTCTCTTTTCTCCATCAGTGCTCGAGTCGTTTCAAGCCCGCCGCCGCCGCCGCCGCCGCCGCCGCATCGCGTCGTGAGTCAGCCCGGCCGAATCAAGGAGCGAGTTGCGGCTAGTGATTGTCTTTTGGGCAATTGGCCGCGCGACTTCGCGGCACGCGCTCGATGCGCGGCATCTGCGGGTGCCGCGGATATCAAGCTGTTTACACACGTATATTGGCTTACGCGTCGGCCGTCGTAATTGCTGATCGAGCACAGATGCCGACATGCGGGCGAGGATCGTTTGACTTTTCTGTCTTTTTTTACGCTTATCTCCGATCTCGTTACGAGCGGATCCGCGCGGGCTGCTCGCGGGCGTGCCGCCTATTTTCGGAAACGTCCGTAACTGGCGCTAATTGCCGATTATAGCGTCCACTTTTCGGATGGCGCGGTGATCGTGCGTTTTAGAGCGATTTCGCCTGCATCGTTGTATTCCTTCGAGCGAATTCGTCATCGAGACGACTCGCGTAATAAAGCGAGATCCACGAGCTGATTACGGGGAGATTGTTTTTTCCGGTGACAACGACATTGCGCGCCCAGTGCCAATGAACTTGGCTGCGCGTGCAATGCGCTTCGCCGAAATCCTATCTGACGGCTGCGGCAAATCGCGGCCGAGGCCGACGATCGAGTCGATCGGCCTTAATCCCGTAGGCGGCGCGCGGATCCTACGCCGGCATGCGGCAAGCGCATCGATTCCACAGACGAAGCCGACTGAACGGGACGTCAGGCAGGCGCTCGCGAGTCCAGCCAGTGCAAGCCGACCGATCTGGGTTTCGGGGCAGCGCCTGGGGTCGGTCGATCGACGAATGCACGGCTCGCGACGAGGACGAGGTGCAGCGAGCTCGCGGCAATCAAAAGGAGAGACCGCGAGAGACGCATAGGAAAAGGGGTGCGGGGCGCGTATTTGCGGAGGCTTCATCGGCGAAGCATTAACGCGCGAGACAAACGAGCGTGTCCGAGTCCGTGCTCGCACGTGGACTCGAGAATACGTGCAGTGTAGACGCGGGTATACAAAGTATAGTCTACATATGGCTCGGGGGGAGGCGGGCAGGCAAGTCGGCGCAATGCGGAAGGGGCAGGAGTTGGGCGCGCGCGCGTGTAATCCCCCGTAATATTGCGCCTGGGCATATGCGCCGCCACACTTGGCCCTGCGGCCTGACATTTAGGGCCGATATTCATTAGCCCCAGCCATCCGGATCTCGACTGCGGATCGACTGCGCGGTCGCTGTGTATATATGCCCTCGTAATAAGCGCCAGCGCACCGGCCCGGTCTGTTTGCCTTGTCGCCGCACTTTCACGCCTCGCGCGCGTTACGTTGCTTTCCCTGGCTCTCCCCGCTCGTTCCTCGGATACGCGCTCGCCTCCGCGCCGCTCAGCCGCCTCTGCGTCCTCCGCTCCGCGGCCGGAGCAGCCTCGGAGCGAGCGCGACTGCGCGCAAGTGGCTCGCTCGTCGTCGATCATTCGCGCGCAATTGGACGATAGGAAGCGAATCGACGTGGGTGGAATCGAGGCGAACTGGCCTCGACGCCGAGGAAGGAGGGCAGCGGGAGCGAGAGACGAGCGGAGAGCTAACTGGCATTTAGCAATTTGGAGCGTGTTTCGGGCACGTGTTCGGGTGCCGGCTGGCCAGCACTGGGTAAATGCGGGGGAGGGGGAGCGGGGGTCACGTCACGGCTCCCGACGTGGCGAACGACCGAGGCTACGCGATGGAGGCATATCCGGTCGTGCCTTCTGATTGACTTGGCGCCAAGCCGCGGCCCTGGCGGTGGCGTAGGCGCTCCTCCGAATTACGCGGCGAGATCGTTCGCGCGCGCACGGGGTGCCGCTTGCCGGCTGGCGCTCGGCCCGCATGGGCGCCCACTCGAAACAATTTCAGCGGCGACGCGCGAATCCCGCGCGACTCCCGCGCGGCGCGCCGCTGGCCGCCGACTATCGCTCTCGTCGCGCTCTTTTCCGGCCAATTTCTCATTTGAATCTCGCGTCGTTGCCGAGCGAATCGACGCACGACGCGCAGTTGCGCGCGCGCACCCGTCGGGCCTTTGATACGCTGGCACAGCCGAATTATCAATTCAAATGAGCCGCCGCCGCCGCCGCCGTCGCCGCCGCTGCTGCTACTCGACTGCTCGGCAAAACTGCGCTCGCGTTTGATCCGCTCGCTCGTCTACGGCCCCGCGGGCGCTACGTTTGGTCGCTCGGTCGAGCTTTCTCCTTCCACGACGCGCGCGGCCTTTTTATCATTCCTCGGCTTCTCGGCGATCGATTATCGTGTCAGCGCGGCGGCGGCGGCGGTGGATCACTGGCGGCCTCGGAGAAAAACCCATCGGCAAATCCAGCGACTAGGCTATGCCCACCGCGACCGATAAGACTCGTTCGCAACGCGAGAGGGCCAGCGTCGCCTTCGCCCGCTGCCCCGGGAACAATCTCGGCCCTCGGCTGTGCGCGGCAGTAATGTCTCGTTGGCCCAGCTCGACGCACCTGAGCCGCTAAAAGCTTTGGCCTTTCGCTTACGCCGGCAACGTACAG